AGCAGATAAAACTTGATAAATCGATTTGTATTCGCATAAGAAACAGCTTCATTCAAACACCTACCGTTTATTTGTTGTAAGTATTTAAGTTAGTTGGTGGATAGCCGCCGCACAGAGTAATACATGGTCGATAACTGGGTCCATGTCAGATCATTGGATCAGCCTGAGGTATGGCGCTAGGTCACGCGTGATGACAAGACACTCCTCCTTGCGGTTCATTTTTGAATTTTTGGCATTGATCCAAAACGCTTCAAGAGTTTTTCGCGCTGATGTTTTCGATTCCTGCGTAAGGATAGTGACTCCTACCTCAAAATCTTCTCCGTTGTGTTCTTGCATCCTATGCGCGCCTAGTGGAGTATTGTGTTTTAGTTTAGATTTACCGACTAGGTGTTCTTTTATGCGGACGCAGAGTGGTCTACCCGTTTCGCCAACATATTCGTGCCCGCACGCTTTACAAGAGATCAGATAGACTGTACCCGAACTCATGCAATCACCGGCTCTACCATTTGGGCAAATTATGCAGTTTTTTGTTGTACATAGACGGTCGTACAGGCGGTTGCGAACTAGCTGGCGTCTTAGAGTGTCCGGTGGTATTTCTATCACTCTTACGAAATTCTCTAGACCGGCCCTTATTAAGCAGCGTTTTATAGCTGCACTTATTTCGTTTGAAATAAAGGGCAACAGAAACGGAGCCTTGTTTTCACTAGAATTATCGCTTTGGGGCGTGGGATAAATTCTATATTAACAACCTCGTGTCTGCTTATTGATGAAAAACATTGAACTATTGTGATAATGTTCGAATGATATCGTATGCTCATCATTGTTCGTGAAAGCTTGATGATTCTTGCATTTACCATTGTGGTCAGTTATTTTGCAGTCAACACTTTGATTCAGGGTGGTGCTATTAATGAAACAAGGTTTATGACAGTATGGAATCCTCCGTTGGGGCGAGCACATCATCGTTCGATCCCGAGATGTCGGACAGACTCACCATGAGCTGTCCTCCGGAAACGGGTAGTATGGATGAAAAAGCTGATAATTTCTACTATAATGAAGATGGAAGGACGAAAAACAATGTATCTGCAGAAGTTGCGGATTTCGAGCCACTTCCCTTCAAAATAGAGCGACCAGAAAGACCAGGAGAAGTGAGATTGGTTCAGTATTGTTCTACACCCATAGTGAACTCTATGTATGAACTGTCTATGTTTTTGGAATTGTTTATCACGTCACTGTTCATTTCATTCAGACACAATCCACGTATGGAAGTCCTACCATCAGCCGTGCTTGCAGTACACTTCTTGAGGAGGTTGTCGAGGAGGAAGGAGATGCAGTACCAGAAACAGATCGTTTTGGGTTTTTCGTGAAACCGGAGGAGGTTTTCTCGGTGAAGTTAGTACATAAGCACATTTCTGCTCGCTATCTTTTGCATAGAGAGCGTGTAGAGCAGTGGTGGGAGGCGCCCTGCAATACACACGGGGTCGATCCCGGAGTCGGAAAATTGGTACCAGTCTTGTCTGGGAGAATAGCAGCATTGACTCGATACATCGGTAGGCCCATGTCGTCATTTTAAGGCCAGGTATGCGTTCAATCACCTCCAAATGATGCTTAATGAAGTCGAATTCATGGCGCATTCCTCAGCGATTGATCAACGCCAAGAGCTTTATTTTATCCTTTTGTACCTCAGTTTTCTGTGTTATGGAGGTTTTTTTGACTTGTAGGATGGTCTTACCTGTTAATTTGGATAAGCTAAGAAGTCGGGAAAAGAAGTGGATTCACATGTTAGAGAACTGGAGGTATTTTATGGATGAAAAGTGAGTGCAAATGAAATTTATACTTCGGCAAATATTCATTGTTGTGTTTTTGTCTCGAAATGTTGTTTTCGCTACTCTTATCTCTTATAAATTTTATGTACACAACGATACGTGACCGGTGTAGGAAAGGAATCCCTCCGTCCATTCGTGGAAAAGCTTGGAAATACCTCTGTGGTGCCACCTACCAAATGGAGGTGTCTGTGAACAGAACTGTTTTTGACGTGAGTTTTTGCTAGTTATTAACTGTATCGGGCTTTATGAATAAACAATCTTTCTGCACCAGTTTCGTTAAGGTTTGGTTTAGTTTTATACTTTCCATAATTCCATCTCTTATGTTGGGAAAATGTATTGAAATTTCTAGTGTGGCTTAGTCATCTTTCGCCGTGGTTTTACCAAGTTGTTCTTAATTAACACCTTATCGACTTTTTAAGTTTCTTTTTCTCGATTTTTTTTTGTTAATCTCGAGTTTTGTTCAGTTTTGCAAGTATTCATAAAGATAGCGTTTATACACTTACGAATTTCAATAAATAAAATCGTTTTGGTCTTTATTTGTAATCAGCTGTTACACATGTCACTTGTCGTTCCGTTGATAGTCGAGCGACTTGAGCGGGCGCCAGTAAATCTTCCATTTCTTCGTGTCGCATGTAGTCCTAGTGGGTTCTCCTTGCTCTAAGGGCTCTAAGCGTCATATCTTTCTTCTAGAGTTTTCGTGAAGAACTCTGGCCATCGGGTCGGTGTTCATCCTGCAGTACGTTTGACATCCCAAAGAATCCAATCACCAACGGCTCTTGTCCATCGGTTGTTGGTCATACGCATTACCTGTCCGGCCCACCATATCTTCCACTGTTTGGAGCATAGAGCGGCATCCTTGATTTTTGATCGTTGACGATTTTCATCTTTCATGCTGCTTACGCAGCGACCAGGTTTCTGACGCATACGTTAAGGTAGGAATTACCGTTGAGTCGAAAAGATGGGCATAGAGTCGGGTGTGTTTTGTTCTCTTCATTACATCCTCGATGCTCGTGAAGGCTCCTCAAGCGACTCGTTTCCTCCTGTTCAACTCTGGAGCTATGTCGTCCGTCGTATTCATTTTCCGACCTATTTGTAGCAAACGGGATGAATTGATGTTTGAAAATAACTTGGGATATTGTCGTTCTGGCTAATCTCTAATTCTTTGTTTCATAGCTGAAGTTTGAAATATCATTTGTAGTACTCAATGCTCTTATACTGATTCGCTTAGCTGCAATCATCAATGTCTTCTCCGTAAACAGTTTTTTTCAGCGATGTTTAAGGCAACCTGGTGACCCCAAATGGATAGATGATATTGAAAAGGATCTTAACCGACAGTTTCCAAATCACGAGTTGTTTTCACGAAGCGGCAAATTCGGTGACGCAGGGTGGGGAGCTTTAAACATGTCGTTATCCCCTCTTTTTAAAGTCTTCTTTGGTAACAGCAATTTAGGAAAGAGGACTTGTTTCAACTTCTAAAGGCGTGGACGGTCCTTCATCCAGAGGAAGGATATTGTCAAGGGCAGGCACCTGTTGCTTCGGTTCTGCTAATGCATATGCCATTGAGGTCTCGTACTTCTTAATCCTTTGCAGTTTCTTCTTCTTTTCCAAGTTAAATTCATTTTTTAAAGGGATGCGTTCTACTGTTTTGTGCAGATCTGCCACAGATATCTTACAGATTACTACAGTCCTGGCTTAGTATGTCATTTTTTTCTTTAATAATCCCTGCGTTCTTTCTGAGAACTAGTTAGAAGTACTCTGTTTCCAGGAAGCAGTTCAAGTAGATGGAGACATCCTCGTTCAACTTCTCAAAGAAAAATCACGGATTAGCTACCAACATTTGGTACAAATTTCAATTTTTTGAATGGAAGCGGTGATATGATCTTTAAGCCTTGAAGGACGTTCCATCAATAATATTGAATTCTAAGAAATAGTTGAACAATCTTATTAGTAGGGAAACATTAGGTGCCTTTAACATCACATTGCTGGAAACAGACAGACTATTTTTTGCAGAAGAAGCAAAATGTTGACCCTGTTTTGTACATGGTCGAATGGTTCATGTGCGTGTATTGCCGCACACTTCCATGGCCGACTGTGCTTCGGGTTTGGGACATGTTCTTATGCGAAGGTAATGATTTTCTCTGGGTAAAAAGTTCGCAATCAAGTTATTTTAATAATCTTATCGCCCAGGTGCTAAGGTACTATTTAAAGTTGCTGTTGTGCTATTCAAATATGGACTGGGCACAAAGGAGCAGTGTAAACAGTATCCTGATCTGCATTCGATTGTCACACGCCTTAGGAACTTGCCTCAACAAATAACGACAGAAGACTTTTTAGTCGAAAAGGTTGTGGAATTATTTACACAAGAGTTCCTCGTGCTTGGTTGTTTTCTAAAGTGTTTCTTTTCAGGTATGTCAACTGAACCTGAACGATGCCGACCTCGAAAAAATACATTTTAGAGCTTTGAAGTTACGGCAGATTAAAATTGCACAGAAATAGATATATTCAAATCATTGTACCTCTAAATCACTATATCAGCCAGTCACCCGTAGGGGTGGGATTTTACAAGATATCATGCCTTCTGCTGCTACTGGAACATTTTCTTTCCCGAAACGTTCTCATTCCTGTTTCTCATATTCGTGAAAGTACCAATGCGTAATATGTTTTCAGCTTCTTCAGCTTATAGTACCAATGCTTATTTCATCGGGTTCACATAGCTGCCATATAACATTGTTGTATTGGGATTTCACCTGCCTACTAAGCTTGTTTCCTACCAAGGAGAAATTTGCCATCGTCTTTAACAGCGTTCCAACGCTAGTATTAAAAACAGTAGTTCTTATTAATATTATGGAGTATCCTATTTAATCCATGAAATTCTTTAGTCACTTCTCGACAAAGCTTGCCATCTTTTAAGTACGCATGTTTCCTTCTCTCATCGGTTAATGTTGTTTACACTCAGAGCAGCATGTAAGAATCTCTCGCTTATGGTACTTTAGTGTCACAGCATTTTCCACTTATCAGAAACACAATCAGAATGTGCTGCACAAACACGTTCCTGTTTTTCGGGCACATATACATTCCAAAGCACTATGTGCTAGAAACCGAAGCTACTATTGCTGACAGGTCTTGGGGAGAATAATCATGTTTTTGACATGTTCCTAGCGCTGTACCTAAAGTGGTAGGAAGTGACAGCAGAAGTAAATTTGGCCATATCACCATTAACTGCATATTTTCTCATATCTTAAGATATTCAATGAATAACTTCTCCGGTACGAAACGCACGAATGTATATCCTCTTCAGTAATAGTTATAAACACATATTTTATTATTATTACTAGTGAGGCATAATAATAAATGTGAGAATTGTGAAGTTGTCTGTGAAGGATGAAAAATGGCGATGCCTAAAAATTACACAAAATTTAGCAACTGAGGATGGATATTTTTAAAGAGTAATTTGTGGGCGCGTATAGCGAAGTGGTCGCAGGCGCCTTGCAATACAAATGGGATCGATCCTCGCACCACAGGTCCGTCAAGCCCTCCATCACTCTGAGGTCGGCAAATTAGTACCAGACATATGGGAGGGTAGCAGCACTGGTTCGATGCATCAGTAAGTCACCACGAGTCATTATAAAGGCCAGATACGTATTCAATCGCCTCCAACAATGCCGGCGTTTAGGATTGAAGAGATATGGATCAATACCGACTTTGACAATCTTCGTCGTTTACGGGGTGACATCAAAGAATGACAAAGAAGAAGTCCAAGCGTTCTATATGAACTTGGAGAAGTTCTACAGAGAAGACCACATTCTTCAAGGTCATCATTTATCATCATTTAACGCCAGAGTTGGACCAAGAAGAACGTCACATTGGGGGCCATGGATTAGAGTGGAACGAGGAGGGTGAGCGGCTTTCTGGGTTTCTCAAGACGACGAAGACCATTTATAATAAATCGAAATTGCGGAGGTCTCACAATCAACGCTAGACATGGAAGGGAGTCTACCAGTGAAGTGGAGGCTACCATAATGAAATAGACCACAACATAGTAAATCGAAGGTTCTACCTAACCGATTTCGCTGTTATCCCAAAATTCTACACAGGATCAGACCATCGCCTCCTTCGTGCAAGATTCTATTTCTCGCGGAAAGGAGAAAAAGCCGCTAAATTCAAAAATCGAAGTCCCAGAACCACCACAAACTGGGACTTATTCATTTCATTAGTCGGCTGTTGGGAAGATTCCGTTGCCCATAACGTCGACGAGGAATACGATTCAACATCTTCACGTTAGCGGTATAAAAGCTGAGAGTTCGAAAGCCACCAGGAGATGTCTGTCTCCAGAAACGCTCGAGATGATACGCCTGCGTAGAATCATGCGAGCTGCAGGTGACTGCGAACTAACGTCCGAACTTGCAAAACAATGCAGAAAGGCTATAAAAGATCTTAAAGAGAGAAGAGGAGCAGTAATGGTCGAAGCTGCAGATGCTGGGAAAAGCATTCGTAAAGCCAATCGAGACTTCGCCAATCACAATACCAAGATGATTCCACTCCGACGCTCATACGGTACGGTTACAGCTTTCAGGAAAGCAATGGAGAGAACCATTCACAATTACTACTCCGATCTTTTCAGTAGCCACGCCCTCCTGCCCTCATACAAAATAAAGGTTAAATATGTCGTTCCACGGGTTCTCCCTTCCGAAATCTGACATGCCATTTCGTCGGCGTGGAATCGAACAACACAAGTCCGCACGGTGTAAGATCTGAACACCTAAAGAACCTTCTGCCAGTCCTCATAAACCTAGTGGCTCAACTCTTCATGCGTCATCTGTTTGAATGCAATGTTCATACTCAGTGGTCGCCGCTCTTGTGGATTAGAGGGAGATCTGCCACCATATGACTAGTTTGATACAAGGACGGTGCTGGATCCTAGTACTGGCTTATTCTTAGCTGGGCTTCCTGGTGGAAACGCCAGACTTCTTCTCAGCTTAGCAGACTCTGGCTGGTGGACGAATTCACTCGCTGTGCATCGCAACCCGACAAGCAAGAACACCTCCCACCCACGATGAGGCTTGAGAAGCGTTGGGAAGTAATATGCTTATCTTCACTAAATAATGCTAGTCGCACAATATTACTATTCCGAACCATCCAGAGGGTAACCGTGGATCAACGTTGAACCTGCATCGTCGACCCGTCCATGCCGTGATATTTGAGGAAAGATTTGACAAAATGATAGCGTCTTTTACGAACTGTATGATTGTCCTGAAATCGGAACATTTTTTGAGCAGTTTCAGGTTGATATAGACATCTGGACAAAGATGATGATGATGAAGTTTAACACAGAAGAGTAGTGTTCATTATACTAAGCGGTCTCCGCTGTCTTTCTCATGGGATATGGTAGTGACTGGCAACATCTGAGCATCCTTAGTGGACGATGGTGTCGAACGGTTGCGATGTATGACGGAGAAGGCATGGATGTTGAAGGACTCGATAAGAAAGCTGATAAATAGTTACAAGAAGGAACAAGCTAAATAATGAGAAAAGCCAACATCGCTGCTCCACGCGACTAAGAGGTACTATGGTGAATGAGTAGGTAATCAGAATCAGCATTATTTTGCTCTAGAAGTAATCAAGGGTAATAATTGCTGCCGAACACCCACTGTAGTTAAACGATGGGGAGACAAATAAGGCAGTACCTTGAGTAGCAACCCCTGGTCACCTCGACGAAGTGTCACCCACGAATTGGTTCTATTGCCCAACGGGTACAAACAGAGATTGTGAAATAGAACCACAATGATGCTGAGATAAGAGCAAAATTTGGAATCCTAGCTGAGCATCGAACTGGCGATTACCATTTGCGGAGACTCACTTGTTATTCACTGCATCATCGACGCCTTTGCTTCAGCTTCCTTTCAGGCAGTTTTCTTTACCTTGACGGTACTATCAGCAATCGCCCCTCAACAGAAATGAATTCCAGCTGTACTTCAAGAGAAACTCACCTAAAGATCATCTGAGGTTTCAAGTTTTGTTCACATCTCAACCATTGTGTTTGTTGAGATATTTGCAAAACTCTGGACCGCAGGTGTCTATGGTGGGGAACGAACGCGCTATTGTCCTTTCCGGGGAGTAACGCGTTCACCACCACACCATGCGGGTCTTTCGTTTCGCCTGTCTCTCAGCTATTTCTATCGATCTTTTTGCCACAGCAATCACCCGTTAGCGGGGTTGATCTGGGGAGCGCAAATCGGCATAGAACCCAGTTAAGCTATGGCTGTAGTTGAAATCACAATCTTTAACGTTTTGTTTTCTACCTTCTATAATTTTCATGGCAGGTTTAGCTGATGGCACTTATCGATAGAACTAGCTGAGAGATAGGCGAAACGAAGGTCCCGCATGGTGTGGTGGTGAACGCGCTACTCCCCGGAAAGGATAATAGCGCGTTCGTTCCCCACCATAGACACCTGCGGTCCAGAGTTTTGCAAATATCTCAGCAACGTTGTGGTTGTATTTCGCTTAGTACCCTGCCGCGAAATTATAGTAGGCAGAAAACAAAACGTTAAACATTGTGGTTGTATTCCACATAATACCTCGCCATGAAGAAAAATAGATAATGAATAAAAACCGAACATTTTAATGAAAACTGTGATGGTGACTTTTCCAGCCACTAAGTAATTAGTGAGATTACGACAGTAGCAATCCAGGTACAACGCACAACTAGACGGTTCTACGGGCGAATAGGATGCTCTATAGCTAAATGGATCTCTAGAATCCGTCCTTTAATATTGTGTTTCAATACTTTAAAGTTCTTTGGGAAAACGCGCAAAGCTGTTAAGTTGAGGGGTGGTTAACAGATTGTGGTAATGTCCGTTATCACAAGTAGTGATTCTATTGTAAAGTGTATTGTGTTAAATTGTTGTAGTTACTCATCATTCCAAAGCTCCCTGTTGTTTTGTGTCCTTAAGTTCTAGGATTTGAAATACGATTAGCGTTCTTTGTTGCATTGTGTCTTTAATGTCGTAAAGTTATGCTAACCACTTTAATGTGGTGCTTATGTTGACTTTAACTCGCGCTTCTACTTCTGCTTCTTTTTCCTGTACTGCAGGAACATTAACTTTATCTTCAGCGAGCACTTTTATGGCGTAGTTTTATCCTTCATTGAAAGCCATTGCTATTGTTTAGAATTGCTTATTAAAAGTTCAGGGTTTAAGGATGACTCCTCCGGGTCAGTCGAGTAGTCAGCCATTACCATCAAAGGAGCTGGGCTTGTTTAAGAAGATCATTGTTGGTTTTCTAAAGCTTGGTACTACTGAAACTTTAAAATTTATTTACTGTTGTTTTAATTATCTTGTCGCTTTGAACAGAAATCATACGAACAGAAGAAGTATCGATTCGGATTGAAATATGCGAAGACTATATTAAGCAATCCCAACTTCTCGGAACATGGTGGTTTGTTTCCATTTTGCTCTATATCTTTTTTATCTCGCAAATTGTGCTTTTTTTCTGAAGCGTGTATGTTAAGAAACACTTGCTATGAAAGGTTTGATCCTGAACTGCATGGGTAAGCAGCAAGAAGCTCAGGAATGTGTGAAGCGAGGTCTCATGGTGAGTCCCCTTCGAAGGGTGCTTTATACCAACTATATATGCTTACTTATTTGGATGGCCCGTCCTAACTGGCTTTGTCTCCACCTAGCGGTCATAATTTCCATTTTTTAAGCAGGGCATCCCAAGTTGAAGAGTCCGGCACTTCCATCAGGAAGCCCAGGTAAGCTAAGAGTAAACCAATATCAGGATCCACCACCGCCCCGATATCAAACTAGTGGCATGGTGGCAAATCTCCCTCTGTTGCACAAGGGCTGCGACGCCACTATCTGCGGTGATGACGACCTAGAGCAGACTTTGATCAGGCTGGCCTCGTGACTCTAAGAAGCCACAGTCGTTAAAGAACCAACTCAAACTGTACATAGCTGGTATAGAAATTCAAGAATGTTTCCATCTGATAACTCCTGCTTAATCGTAGGCTGATTTGAAATCGTATGTCTGCTGGCATGTATATGGTCTTGTTCAACGATCCGACAAGAAATATGATGAAGCTATCAAGGTGTGTGTTTATGTCTACTACATATAAGGTTTCATATGTCTTTGAAAAACTGTACTGATGTTAAGGCCTACAAACGAGCTTTATTTTTGGACAAGGACAATATGCAAATCTTACGGGACCTGTCTTTATTACAAATTCAAATGAGGGATTTCGAAGGGTATAAGGTATCACTTTCAAAATATCGAGCTAGTTATGGTTTTAAATGTTTTGCTTGAGAAATAATTGTGACGCTCTTACATATGTGGAAAACGTATTTTATCCTTTTTGTTATTCTAACATCTATATCTCCTGCAAAGAGTTTTGGTTAAATCAAATAGCTTTCTTTTCTTAAACTTACTTTTGGAAAGCATATCAGGTTCTTCAGTTTGAAATGTTCAATGTAAATGGAATGCTTAACTTAAAATGCTTAACCTTTATCAAAGCTGAGCTTCTTTTGTTTTTTCTCTTTCAAGTGCAAACCATTACGTACAATGTTCCTTTGTGGCATATTACATGCTTAGAGAGAAGATTGAATTTCTGAACACCATAGGGTTTTTCAAGAAACATTAACCATTTGATTGACGCGTATTTTCGGGTGAGGGTAAATCTTTGAAGAAATTTAACGATAAGTTTGATGTTTAAAGTGCACTGGGCAGGACTTCCTATTCCTTTTGAGTTGATAAATTCTGATCATTGACATTCTAGTAAGTGGTGCATTTTAAAGATTTCGCTGAAGTTCACTGCAGTAAATTCGCCAGGATTCAAGAAGTTCTGGTGGGTAATTCCATTTGCCAAGCACAAAAACTGCCGTAACTTTCCTCTGATGTATGTAAATTTAGAAATCGAAAGGTGTTCTGATTAATCACATATGGGCAAGATTGCGGAAAATATCGATTGCTTTACAAAATCCACTTCTTTCTCATGTCGCACCGGTATAACGAAACGGCTGATTCTTGTTGTGTAGTAAAAGTAGAGAAGAGACTTAAACATTATTATTGCTTTGCATTTATTCTATACGATATTTTTTGCCAGTGTTTTTACGTTTTGCTTCGGTTGGTGTGCTCCGAAACCAATCAGAAGATCAAACGTATTTTTATCATCTTCAAAATCCTCGTTCCAAATATTTTTACATCAAAGCAGTTCCCATTTTTGCTTTTAGAAGAAACACCTTAAATAGGATACAAGTTCAAAAAACAGCATAAAAAAGTGAGCAGCTCTATGCGCTTTTGATTGCTTTTTAGAACACGTGCAAACTCAAAAATGTGTTGAGCAAAAGAAAAAATGCTCGAAACTTGCATATTGCATGCTGGTAGATTTCCTTTTAGAACACTTAGTTCATGAGGAAAATGTGAGTAGTTTACTCTAACAGTAAAAAGCAATTGGTTGATCACCAAGGTATATTGAGAATACTAGGAATCTCGTTACCATTTGCTTCGACTGCGACCGACACAACGTGTCTCTTGGATAGGATATGCAACCGCTTACCATCTTTTGAAGGATTATGAAAAAGCACTGAATATCCTTGCAGAATTTCTTCAGAACAATAAAGTTGGTTTCCTCTTCCATTCTTTTATGTTTCTTTTTTAAAAAGTAGCGATTTGCGAAGCGTTGCAGCCTTCATCATACGATTTCGAACATTCCGAACTTGTTCTGTATCAGAACATGATTCTATGCGAGGCCGGTCAGTTGGATGAAGCTCTGTCGAAGCTAGAGGAGAACGCGGCTGTAATTGTAGATAAAGTAACTTATATGGAAAGAAGAGGCAAATTTTTGTTTACTTTTCTTTATTATTTAACCAAAAATGCGAGTTTGGATATAGCAAGCTGTTTAAAAAGATAGCTTTCGTCAAGGTTTTTCGAATATTTTTCGAACCTAATGGTCCAAATGCGAACTTTCGAATTTGCAATATTTTAACCTTTGTTTGCTGCCTACTCTTCCCTTTGTTTCATTTCTTTTTTTTCTGTCTATTCTTTCTTCCTAAACTTTCTTTTTAAACAATGGGTTGTAAACGAAAGTTGGAACAGTGTGATTTCGACTGCTGCTTCGACTTAACGGAGCTCAGTGCTGATTTCTGCTCAGTACGTAATTTCCGTTGATGGGCTATTGTTGATGGCACTGCTAGAGTGAAAATTGGCAGAGAGAAAGAAAAAGTGGCGAGGTTGGTATGGTGGAAAACACGGGAGCCGCGGTAAGGGTAAACGCGAGTTCGAAGCCCAACTGAGTTTCCGAGTTTTGCTTATATCTCGGCGTCATTGTTGTTGAATTGCTATACTTCCAATATCTGATGAATCTCGAATGTCAAATGTTACCTAAAATTTTCATTGGATACTGCCATTCTACGTAGTTCCATATCTGCATAATTTTATCTTAACGTGTTGCAGGTGCTATATTAATGGAACTACAACGAATGGAAGAGGCAGAAAAAGTTTATCGTCAGTTGATCGATCGAAATCCTGAGAATATTTCTTACTATTACAGTCTCGAAATATGTCTCAGGCTTGGTGAAGGTGTGTTGTCTTGTTATGCGGTTGCTGGGCAAAATGTTCATGCCTGTTCGATCATGTGGACCTGCTTGTACCATGGGTATACCTTGACTTTACTTATGCTCACATTTTTAAATCGACGTTTGTTTAAGTCCAGTCGATTGAATTAATAAATTTTCCTCTTATGAGCTAGTGCTTTTCTATGAAAGTCGAAAATTAATCATTGACGGCTTTTTTTTTCAAAGCAGTGGCTTATCTTGTTTTATATACAAGATATTTTGGTGTGGTTGTGTCTACTAGCTTTTCTGTTTTCACACTTCATTGAGTTTATTTTAATGTTCCTGGTTGGTTTCAAATTTCTTGTCGATTTGTCCAGTGATAATATTTTACTAGCCTTTCGTCAAAGATTTCTTGGTACTAATAATAAGTAAACTTCAACAACGTAAATTCAATCGTTATGTTCGTGGAACGTATTACCGTGGCACCTTCCAACGGTTTACCGTCTCACTGTGGCGGGAAGGTGTTCCTGTGTGGTCGGGCTGCGAGGTGCAGTAGAGGGTTTCATCCCGGTAGCAAGGCCTCCTAAGTTAGGAGGTAGTCCGATGTTTCCATCAGGAAGCCCAGCTAAGAGTAAGCCAATACCAGGATCCACCACCGTCCTGGTATCAAAGTCGCATGGTGACGAATCTCTCTCTGATTTGCAAGGACTGCGACTGCCGGTCGTGATGACAGCCTGGGGCAGACTTTGGCCTGGCTGGCCTCAGGACTCCGTAGAACAAAAATGGCTAAACCAGTAAAACTCCGAAATTAATCTGGAACCTGCGCAACCGGCAATGGCGGGCCATCCATGTATCCAATTAGTGTTGACGTAAAATGAGTTTTGTTGTATATTTGACGGTTTACCAAAAACAAAAGTTCAGAAGTTTTGTGCAAAATAAGTACGTTCACAGCAATATACTTTCTATTATATTTAATTTAATCTATTTGCCAAACTTAATTGGATCGATATAAAGAATGATACAGTATTATGTATCACTCAAAATACCCTATTTTTCATTGTGAAGGAACCTTTGTCTATGCATCATGATTTTTGTGTGTATTATAGTAACTCGTTAAGTTTGTGAATTCATTAGTTATCTCCGAGAAGCTTTGAATGCATCCACTATCTTTTTTTTTGAGAAGTTCTGTTCGAAGTGATATAATTGCATCGAAAAAGGGATTCTTCTCTTTCGAGAAAGTGGAGAGAAACACATCTCTTCCTATCGTAAAAAAATCTGCAGTTTCATTGTGTATCGTCTCATTTATTTTCAGGAGCTCCCATAGCCGATCGTGTTTCGATGTATGATAGTCTCGCTGAGCGTCACAAAAGAGCTGCAGCACCGCGACGACAGCCGTTGTATATACTGGAAGGTCCAGAACTTAGTCGTCGACTTGATGACTGGATAGTGAAGGGATTGAGGAAAGGCGTACCAAGTCTTTTCAAGAATTTGATTCCCTTATACACCAATCCAGCTAAGGTGTGCACATAAATTCACCTTTTTCGAATTTTCAAGCCCTAATCAGTGGCGTTAATTTCTCGGAATAATTGTAGTTCGTTTAGGTCAGCATTTTAGAGCAATTACTTATGGATTATGTAAAGATGGTCGAAAATAACGGTTACAGAGGAAGATCATTCCATGGTAGGTTCTGTGATCTTTACTCTCTCCTTCGAAGATATATCTGGTTTGTCCCAGGTGATGATGATGAAATGGAATCTCCAACATCGGCGCTTTGGTTATATCTGTTGATTGCCCAACATTTTGATCGTATAGGGAATACTGCAATAGCCTTGAAATACGCCGAGTGTGCTATTGCACACACGCCAACTCTAATAGAGGCACTGATGATTAAAGCGAAGATTCACAAGGTTATATTTTTGAGTTTTGCATATTTTTTTATTGGAACTTTCGTTTTCCGTTTTTCCTAAATTGTTTTTTGATTGTATATCGTTTTGGCATCTAGGATGACCAGCGAAAGCTTTTTCGACATTGTTTTTTGCAAATATATGAGTATTTTCGCTATAAGTAGAGAAATAAATGGAGAGCAGAGGCCCTCGGTTCCATCCCATTCCGGGCCAACAAAGCCTACCGGCCAACAGATTCGTGAAATGGGTTTTAGACTTTTCTAGGAAGAAGTACTTCCAATCCACAAAATATGCGGCTACCTGTGATAAAATCTTTGTGCGGCTAGCCCAGGATTCGAGGAAGGGACTCAATCGGCATCCACCAGTATTCAGGGCATTAATTGTTATGCAACTCAATACCCACAGAAATCTAAAGACTGGAGAGTATGGCTGCAAAAAAATGAATCGAATGAAAAAATTGATGAGACTCGCACAACAGGCGATGTTTGTTTATCAAAGCAAAATTAAATAAATAAAAGGTTATTACTGGTTGCCTGTGTTTTATGCTTATAGAAAAGAGCACGCTCGAACGGAATCATTTTAGAGGACTGAAGTTATGAAAAGTTAACCTACGAGGTAGGGAGAGACCATTTAGGACACATGAAGGGCATTACAACTTTTATTCCTCTTATTTTTCCTGACAGCAGTAAGCCCATAAGGTGGCTCACCGTGCTTCACCATGGAGACTCAGTATAGTCACCGATTTTCCGGAATTGGAAGTAGGATTTGTTGGAAATGACATTATTACCATGTTCCTTGTTTTATCTACTCACTAAATTGGATCGACATGTAGAATATAATCTATATTGGCAATTGTTACCTCTTTGTCGAAAGTATAGCTTCAGTATAGTGTTCGTTTTACGACATAAGTAACTATAACTTTTAATTCTAACTCGAAGTATTTTTTAAAACATCGCGAGTCTGTTTTTTTTATTCTTATGTCGTTTTTATGGAAATTTACCCTTCTGTTGTAAATATCGTTTTTTTTTTTTGTAGTGTCTTCTTTATGCTCACCTAGCGAGCATCAAGACGCTATTTTAAATATCCTGAACAGCTTCATACACACTCTTGCATTTTATAACTTTGGTTTTTTTATGTTTAACTTTAATTCTACGTCGACTTGTGCTTAGCTCTATTTCTTTAATTCGCGCTCTCCGTCAACCCTGCCACTAGCGCAATGCCACTAACGTATAGTTGGGTGGTTAACGATCCTTCCGTTAGGTAATGACTACATTGTCAAGTCATAACGAACACCTAGTAGAGGGGTGTTAGTTCACCTTGCCACATTTCCATAAAGAATTCATAGATGTAAACCACACCACATTGACTCCAGTAGGAAGTTATGAGTCATTTGGTAGCTTCTATATGCAATATTTTGACGCCGGTTTTTTATTATTATGGAACTGTCACTTATGACAAGGTGTCAGCTGCCTGAGAGTGTTGTTAGTCATTGTAACCACCGTATTTCTCATGCTACAACGTCAATGCTTAGCCATTTTCCATTTTCTTTGCTATCAATTTACATGATTCATCTTATAGTGGTACAAGTGTCATTTTGTGCTTCGTGGAAATATCTATTCTTCCAGAGAAGGAGAAAAGTGTAAAGTACACATGAAACATCCAAATTCGTTATCCAGTCTCTGAGTATCGTTCCTTGAATGTTTCGGCTATTAAATTTCTGCCTGGTATGGATCGGTCCTATGTGCTTTGCTGGGCGCGTGTGGCGCAGTGGTTCAAGACGTTCTGCAATACACATATGAGATCGCCCAAAGCTCACCAAACCTTTAATCCCTCCGGGTTCGGTAAATTGGTACCAGACTTGTCTCAGAGGCTAGCAGAACTGGCTCGATACATCGGTAGGCCACCGCGAGTCATCGTAAAGGCTAGATTTGTATTCAATCACCTCCGAACGATGCTTAATGAAGTCGAATGCATGGTGCATCCTCAGAGACTGATCAACGCCGTGAGCTTTATCCTTTTTTTTTTATACCACGAGTAATCGGGTCACCGAACTTTTCCAGAATAGGCATAAAACTCATTTATTGAAGACGGCTCAGAAAAACCTGCCATACACGTCGTATAACCTCATCAATTTTTGACCGAAACGACGGCATGCGATTTGCAGATATGCAAGCAGGCGTTTTCAACTGTACCTAAATATGCTTGGGTTATATGGATGTTTTAAGCGTGTTATATGGAGCGCACACAAAGTGTTGATCACCTAAAATCTCCTTACATTTCAAATTGAATTGGTCGCTTTTGTATTGAGTTCGATCAATTGTCTGCCATTTCGGGACAGGGCACAGAGCATCGTGATAATTTGCCTTTCGATTCCTCAGAAAAATCCGTGGCTGTACATTCTTCTGATCGTCAGAGCTGGCATTTGTGCTCGCCATCCAACTGACTTTCTATACTTCATTTTCAGGTTTATCCACTTGTTATTGTTTTGTTTCAAAACCACAATGATACACTTGTTTTTTTCCACACGAGTTTCATTTTTCAGTTTCATCTTTTGATACAACAATATGGCATCAGTTGGACTAATTTACTGACTAGGTTGTCTGTGTCTGGTATTTAAGCTATAAAACTTTTTCCCAAGGAATATTATGCAAGTTACTTTCCATTATAACGTTTAGTAATATTTTTCGATTCCTGATTTTTTGTTATACATTCCTATAGTGCATCCGTTCTTCTTCAACCCATATGGCCTCTGAGAAACGTACCTATATGACTTTCTGTTATAATTAGCGGTATGTTGCAAACTTTGTAACAATATTTTGTCTTTCTGCAGAATTGTTGCGCATGCACGTATCACGACAATATCATCACTCAGTAATTTTCGTTAGTACCTATGAAGGCAAACGTAATTGAGTTACACATTTGTTCGTGGTTTTGACAGGTGCTCACTGCTGCGACTACATTGAACGTGCACTGCGGGTGATACAATAGCATGCTTTTGAATTTCACAAACAGGACCTTGAAAAAGTGGAGGATAAAAGTTCTAGGCGTTGATCAACCTCTGAACGATGCGTTATGCCTTCATTCAATTTTATTAAGTATCGTTAGAGGTGGTTGAATACATATCTGGTATGCGGTGCCCTACCGATATATCGAGCCAGTGCTATTATTCTCCCAGACAAGTTTGGTAGCAATTTGCTGACCTTGGAGACGTGAAAGACCTGGTGGGCCACGGGCGCAGCGACCGATCCAATGTGTATTGCAGAGCGCCACTAACCACTGCGCTCCTCGCGCTCCAAACAGGACAATACGTCTGTCATCGGGAGACTATAAACAACTGTCAGTAAGGTTGTTCCTTACATTTCAAAGTTGCCGTATGAGCTCTTCTGGCTCGTTCAAGACAAAGAGCATCGATTACGCACGGAGCATGTTTGTTGGAGGCAAAGTAAAACCGCGTCTCGAGTTCTGTACATACTTTCTACTCAGTTAAAAGATTTTGACCGAATCCATATAAGTTGACCTTCCTCTGATCCACAAGGGCGGCGACTGCTTAGGCTGGTGACGATCTGAGGAAGGTTCCGCTAGGCTGATATCGGGACTTCAAGGTCCCTCAGTGGCTAAACTAGCAAATATTCGGGATGCAAATTATACTGGGGTCCGCACAGCCAGTTAAGTCGGGCCATCTAAGTATCCTTGTAAATTCCAGCCACAAATAGACACTTTTGTTTACATGTAAGCTCCTAGTCGCCATATGTGGTCGTATCGTTTAACCTCGTATAACATCAAGTTGTGCTGATTTTTTACACAAATTTTAGTGCTTTTGATGAATATGCAGATATAATATGTAACGTTATTCCCAAAAATTGTATTGGGAGGGCAGAAAGGCCAATATTAAATCGTCTTTATAAGGTAAATGTGTTTCTAGCATGCTGGCGACTATTGTGAAGCTGCTCGATTAATGGATGAAGCTCAGTCGTTAGATACAGCCGATCGTTATGTAAACAGTAAATGCGCCAAATATATGCTTCGTGCAGGGCAAAGGGAACGAGCGGAGAAAATGTGCGCAAAATTCACTAGGGTTAGTGTTTTCCATTTGAAGCTGCATAATTGTTGTGTTCAGTAGGGACCACATTTGTATTGACATTGAAAGACAGCATGCTCCGTATGTGATTGTAGTTAATGCTTAATTCAAAAAATGTTCTCTAAATGCACATTTTTATTCCTGTTTTACTTGTCAACGACCTACAATTCGGAATTAATAATTGCTTAAAGGAAAACGAAGCTTTAGGTTTCTTCATCACAGAAGGCCTTTGCCTAATAACTCTTACTTAATAGTGTTAGGTGTTTAATATCCGTGCATTGCACGATGGCTCAACATTTCTTGTCTAGGAAGGTGACAGAGCTTCGATAACTCTTAATGAAATGCAGTGTATGTGGTATGAACTGGAATGTGCACGATGTTTTGTCGCAGAAGGTCAGTATGGAGAAGCCTTAAAAAAAGTTCATCAAATCGAACAGGTTAAGAATTTCGACATTTTGCTTCGTACACTGTGGTCTTTTCACGTTCTACACACCTGCTTTTTTAGCACTTCGTAGGGATGATTGAGGATCAGTACGACTTTCATACCTATTGCCTGAGAAAAGTGACGCTATGTTCTTATGTGCAGCTGCTTCGTCTTGAAGATGTTCTGCGCACACACGAATTTTATTATCAAGCTGCTAAACTCGCTGCTAAGGTCAATATTTTCATAATTATTCTTAAACTTTTAGGTGTAGTGACCAAATAATGGGTGTATTATAAACATGGATTTCTTTGGAGATTATACTACGTTAGTATATCTATATAATTGTGCAGTTTCCTTGTTTTTCTTTTAGAAAGATGAACAGTCAATTACCTTCGATGGCTTTTGTCTCCTACGTCAATTTGGTACTGATTTCACCAACTATCATTTTGGCGGTAGCACCCTGACCTTGTTGATTCAGTAGGCTGTAAATTTACACCGAATTTGGATTAGCTCAAGTTGAAGGAGGAAGCACAGGCAAAAGTCGTACCTCTTGACGATCATCAATAATGAATTCAACGCCAAGAATACCATCAAGAGAACGTCTGAAGAGCTTTACGTCGTGCTTAGTATAGAACTAGCAGTTTGAGCGACTGTTGCATTTAATCGTAATCGTCAAGGTCATTCATGCTACAGTTCCATAAGCTCTGCTCTCATCGTGACATGTGAGAATTTTCAAGCGAAAATTATAATGGTAAATTGACATCATCGTAGTAAGTAGATGTTTTTATTCAGTCAGAGTCGTTGTTGCTTAAAAATTCTACACGTCATTGGATCATCGCGTTGTTCGCCTGTTTTTTTTCTTCTTCGTAAGAATCAACAACTCGCAACATTTAAATAACGGAGCCCACGAGAAAAACATCATGAAAAAGTGATTGGTTATAACCTTAATTGCAATTAAAACAATGTCGTGTAAGATTCTGAATAAGCCAAGGCATTGATTATGCATGCTGAGGTGAAGTAGAAGTCAGATATTTGAAAATATTGCAAAGTTGTCAGTTAACGGAAAGCCAGCAGGACCATAGTTAGCGGGCATAGGGACGGAGATAAGCATAAAATCATTACTCAGGTCCTCTTCTACAGTATTGGCACTATATTAGAGTATTGCGGCGTTGTGAAAAAGCAATGTTTGGACGAGGTATTAGTGGCACTCCGTGAAGTATCGCTAGAGTTCTAGAAAGGCCCTGAATCACTCTTATCGAGGTGGAAAAGCTCATACGATCTCGTGGAAATTGTTCAGTACCATTCTATCACCTCGTAGTACTAATTTAGATGGTCCTGTTAAAACTGAAATGGCATAGCATGAGAATTGAGGCTGATGGCACACTGCATCACCATCACATTGACGATGACGTTCTATACCACCAAGGATTTATCAGCAGAATGAATACATGTTGATTTGGACAGCGCATTGGGGAAGACTAGTGTTTTCTTCGTATTTAAGAAAATGACGAATACTTCCAAATGCCCTTGCTATGTTTTGGGTCTAGAAGTCATTAAGGTGAACCACTTCGCAGTGAAGTTGGGCAGAATGAAACGAGTAAATTGTGAAAATAGCTTACAAGAACATCGAAAAGCTAGCCATGATGACAAAGAGCAACCATTTTCATGTCCACTATTTCCTCTTTCCCATTCTCCCACCGTAAATTTACGCCTCGAAGATGAAAAAACGGAGTATTTTTAAACACTTTATCGACAGGACGAAATTACAGGGTTTTGTATAATGCAGTCGATAAGAGAAATCTGAAGTTAAAACCTATGTAACCAATTAGAGGCGCTGCTGCGAACGGGAATATATTGAAATACGGGTGCAGAGGGCGCCTGTTGACGTTTGACGAGATGAAACGTTCGCGGCTGTTCTTTGGTAGTCAAGGGTACATTAAGAGAACCACTGATCAAATTGTCAGATATATCTTTACTGCAAAGAGAATCCACTAGGTAACTCTAGCATGCGTCAGCTACGAGTGAAGGAATTACTAGTGGCCGCTCGGATTGCTGACAACCAACAAGAGGGCATGTTATAAAAGTATTATTGGGGAACTTCTTGTTCGTGTAAATTATTATACTTCTCCAGGAGCATTGCATTAAAGTGCTATGCCTGATTTTCAGAACTATACCTGATCTTTAGATTTACTTACGGATGGTGGATCGCCCACAAGATTTCTCGGGTTCTACTGCCACTGCTGACGGGCTTACAACGATAGAAATGAAAAAATTGAAGAAGCAGCAAAAGAAACAGGCTAAAGAACAGGAGCAGAAGAAGAATACTGGCAAGGTGAAAATGAGTTTATGGCTTATCCAAGAAAAAGTGTTCCCAGATTCACTAACGTGGAAGTTTTACAGAAGGAAGAATATACTAATCCTGCCATGCAGTTCGATGCTGATGCTTTGCTGAAAACGGATAAACCTTTGGACGATGCTGCGAAGTTCGTTCAGCATTTACACATGCTTGGAAGCAAGCATGTTACCGCTTACAACATTGGATTTGAAGTTTATTTGAGAAAGGTTTTTTTTTTTACGAAATCGTTTTTTTTATTTTTAGGTCAAATAACGAGGAACGTTCATACGTATTTTCATCACTATAATCTGCGTTTTAAATTTGTTAAGTGTGGTTATTAAACCTGATTAATTTGTGGACCAGACAATAAACAGATGTTGTTGATTACTCAGACGCGTTCACTTGTCGTGCGGACTGCATCAATTCTTTCATCCGCATGTTTCATTCGCGACTACGAATCATAAAGATAGTAGACTCGGTCGTGACCCTATTGAGTTACGAAGGTGAGATATTCTTCATAGATCCGATTTACGATGCCGAACTTATTGTTTAGAACGTCGACTGATCTTCAGGAGGATCTCTAAATAGTAATGGATCACAACTTGATGTGGTGGAAGTCTTGATATATGTTTCCACAGAATTGCATCAATGGAATAAAAACTTTTGAAGCAAAAAGAAGCGTTTCACCGAGTCTTTCCACACTCATCGTTCTAGTTCATAATCAAAGTCTTTTTTTTTTTTACTGTGCGTCGTGTTGGACTTTGAATGTCGTCTCCGTTATTTAAGATGCAGCATTTATCTCTGATTCTTATACCTTCAGCTTCCCATAGATATGGTCTGTCAATAGGTTGGGACATTTCCTTATCCGTTTTAATTTTTGTTAACTTTAACAGAGTCGGTGCTCTGGCACTCTTCTTTAAGAATGTGGAAAAGAATATTTGTCGTCCTGCTCAGTTACTTGGACGGTCCGTCTTCACGAGTTGTGCGAATCAGCATACTTGCCATTCGTTTTTTCCTTCGCAGTCGTCATCCATGGTGGTGGTTTTATTCGATCATGGTGGTGAGTGGGAGTTTCTTGCCGTGATCTTTAAAATAACTGCAACTGCGAGTACATTTGATTAGCTTTGGTTACAAACACGTCGGCCCGTCTAGCTGGCCATCCAAGGGGACGCTAACGCCCTCGTGGTGTTCACTTTGCTGTTCTTTTCGTCTATATGTCATCTGCTCTTCTCATTGTGTGATTAGCCTATCTATACTTCGCTATCGATGTGTACTCTCCTGGGTTCCGAAGATGGGATAGGTTTCGAAGATCGGAGCTTTGCGTTCCTGCTAGGTATTGAGTTTGCTTTTATATTTCAGATGGCATCGTTCAAGCGCTCTGTGACTTGTGCACAGTATTCTTTACGTTGTTGAAGTAACAGCCCACGTCTTTGAAGTATAACGGAGCGCTAGGAGGACCGTTGAATCAAGAAGGTGGGTGCGAATTTGCGGCTCCCTCATTTGGTTGGCGACTTCTTTGAGAGGGCCGAATGAGGCCCAAGCTGCTCTCATTCTTCTTTCTAATTCGTCTTTCATGTTGTTCTCCATGTTCGTTGATCGACCAAAGTATACGTCCCAGGTGGTCTCTGTAATCAGAGTACCATCCAATTTGATCTGATCTCCTTCACCCCAAGTGATACCGTATATACCGTCATCGGAAGTGGATTTGGTTCGTTTTAAGCAGAGAAGAATTCGTTCTGATCTATTTAAATTGGAATGATTGTACAAACTCAAAGGTATATGTGAGTTTATGAGAATTGGTAGATTTGTCTTGTAGCTACATCTGTGCTTGCTGCTCAATATAAACTGATTTTTTTATCTTCACATCTATGGTGATTCCTTAGCGTTGTATTCTATGTGAAAGAAATATCCAAACGGATTATTTCCGTGGTAGTTTCTGTGCCTTTTTTTCCTGGTATCATGCCTTCTCCACTGCTATTAGAGTAGAAAAATCAAGCCATTCCGATTTTTTGCAGTTTTTGTTTCCTTCGATGCTGGCGAAAGTCCTACTTTGATTAAATCGTCTCGCATTAGTCATGAACTATTCAGTTTCGAAACCTCATATTTGAAATCTAGAGCAACTGTTTTGCACTTTCTCTCTAGAGCATAATTGATGTTTTTGAAGGTAAACTTACTTTTCCGTTGAATCGAGAACTCTGTGTTATCCATGCTCGAAACTATCGCGTTGAGCATTGTTTCGCGTCTAACTTTTGTGTTGATTGATTTTCCTAAGTTGTAGCTGCTGGCCTTTTCTTGGAAAGCCAGTAACTATAATTGCTATAACGGTGCAATCGAGATTCGAGAACTTCAGGCTTCATTCACCGTTTTTGCCTTAAGTCTATCATAATGCACGACTCACTAAACATAATGGACCTAGTTTCTAAGCGAGATCAAATAGTTGACGTTTTGTAATGAAATTGGGTGACAGATCTTATACCAGTTATTCGGTGAAGGCTAGTGTAACGTAGTGAGTGATTAGGGGTGCCGTACAATACACGCGGAATCGGTCGTTAGTTGAATCCGGCATCCCAAGCTTAATAAGCACTCTGTCTCTCAGGGGTGGCGAGATTGGTATCAGTTTCATCTGGGAGGATAGAAACGCTAGCTTAACACATCAGCAGACCACCGCAAGTCTTTGTATAGGAGAGGTATGCATTCAATCACTCTTTTTCATCCTCGATGGTATTTCTGTTCTTTAACAAGGATAGCAGGAAGGGGACGTCGGAAAGTGAAGGTGATAAGTCTGTGAGAAAGAGACAGATTTTCAGTACTTGTAATAGTGATGGAACACGAAAGGCGGTAATTTAATTTTAGGATAATTTTTATGGTTTTACGATAGATGGTAATTCTAATAGCTTAGAAATTTTGAAAACATGGAAGAATAATCATTATTGAAGAGTTCAAGTCATAAACTTGCACAAACTATTGAATACAAAATAATTTGTCTTTAAAATTTTTAGTTTTACAAACTTGGCTGCATTTATGTTATAAGTGTCACTCAGCGAGTATACAGTTTGTAGGCTTTTTTTTCTATTATTCAGAAAAAGCCATTGCTTATGCTCAAATGTCTGAAGAAGGCAGCGATGCTGGACGACAATAATCCATTTCTTCATGTTTGTCGCATAAAGTTTTTGAAATTTAGTGAGTCGACTTGTTTTCTTAGTATTCTCAAATTAATTTTAGTCAACATTGTAGATGCTATTAGCAATTTATAGGAGAAATGTGGCACAATGATGGTGTGATTGGCGCACTAGTCGAAGAATTTTCTTCTCAGCTTTTCTCTATAGTGGATCCTTTCATTTTGAATGAAGACTTCAAAAACAGAAACATTAACAATCTACCTCATCGTTTGGCTGGTACGTTATTTTTAGTGATGTTTTTCAATGTTTATTTATCCTTTTTCGCGGTAGCTCAGAGGCGAGCGTAATTTTTGCCATTGACAAACATTATATTTTTTATTGGAAATTGAAACGTATTCTGGTTTCTAAGTAGCGAGGTCAACGGGGTTTCTTTTCGTATCAATATATTTCTTCCTGCTTTTCACATCGTCATTGTCTTTGTACAATCCTTGTTGGAATTCTAGGCTTTTTTGCAATGGTTTCAGTAAATATCAGACACGTGCAGAATGCTTAAACGTTTCGACAATCCTGTACATGCTTATGAGCCTCTTTTTTGTCTAAATTCTCATTACATCTTCTAATCGACTTTTGCCTCTCCAGATATCGTTCAACACGAAATCAGGGATATACATAATTTTATATTATAGGGTTATGTACATGAAAAAAGAAACAGTATGTGAGCTACAACCGCTAAGATGCTGAAATACGAGCAAAACTCGGACCCTCAGATTGACTTTGAACACGCGATTCCCCCTACCGCGGCTCACGTACTATCCACTACCTTTGTTTGCCTTTCTCTGAGCCAGTTTTTTTTCTAATCTTAGCCGTCCTGTCAGCAGTTCCCCATCAATGAAAATTATGTGGAGAGCAAAAATCGGTATTGAATCCAGTTAAGCTAAAGCTCTAGTCGAAATCGCAATTTGTTAACTTTTATGCACTGCCTATTCTTTTTTTCATGGCTGGATATTATGTGAAATATAACCACAAGTATGCTGAGATATGAACCAAATTTGGTAGCTGAGTTGAGCTTTGAACCAAAAGAATTTTCGAACAAAACATGGAATTTTACCTTCTTTTTGTATTTTGTTGTTTTTTTTAGGTCATCGGAGAAATTGTAAACAAACATTTCGTAAAAAATCAAAGCAAAAGAACTTTGGACTGTGTCTTGAGTTTTGACCCACTAACTGTAATGTAGTTGTGTGAGCAGATTCTTTTATAACGTGCCAAATTCAGTGATCGAGATGCTTGTAAAAATGAAAATCATATGCGGTGTGCTCTCAGGTGTCGATGAGATATTAGAAAGATATGTAGCTATTAAAGCCATCATCTTCAATACATGAGCTTTTTCCAAGGATGCGAGTTTTCCAATTGTATGTATAGTTCACAAAACGTTCTCCACATTCTCCACTATGTAGATTTTGCGGAAACCGAAGCTCGTAACTCATTGTATTTGTTTCAGTAGCCGAGTGTAATTTAATTCTCGATCCTGAAAGCGAATCTACAACGAAGAATTGGCTAGTAAAGTCGCTGGAAGACGAAAAACTGACTGGCCGAACATTGAAAACAATTGCACATCTTTATGATGGGATAAAGTATGGAAGATTTGGAATTTGGAGCAAAGATGAGGTAGCACTTTTCACCTCCGTGCTTTTTGTTAATGCAAAGACGTCGTGATTTTCAATATTCAGCATAATACGTGCCCCGTATAGAACTATTTATGAGATCATAAAATAATTTGCTTTCTAGTTGGAAGCATTTATTCGACGAGGTCGTTCTCTGTTTCCCCAAGCGCAACTGTTTGGTGGGGGATCTCCACCGGTGATGACTACCGTGGAAAACGATCAGTTACCTCGTGAATAGCTCATGTACTGACCTCTTCTAGTTTCTTGTTTATCTCTGTCGCTTTTACGACGGTGAAGAACTTTCATTCTTGTTACAATGGCTGTAGTCTTTTTCAAATGTTGGGTTGTATTTGTCTTTTTTCTTTCCTGTTTTTTAAACTGTGTTATCGACCACTATGCCTTTGAATTCCGTGTGTTCCGACCACTGTTGGCGATAATCATTCGTTTTTATTACAGAGTGTTCCAGTTTGTTTAATTATTATTGTTTTCTTTTTTGTTATTTGTGTGATTTACTCGGTTACTTGTCTGCCCTGTGAAGCAGAAATGGTTCATTTTCGGAATTAGAGAATGCTAGGACATATAGATTTTTATTTTTTCTGATCCTTTTTCTACGTTATGCTGCCTGCTTTAATGAAGCGGGTGGATGTCTCATAGGAGATCGCTCAAATTTGCTCGAACTGTTGCGTGTCCTCGGCCACGCAGTCGTTTTGGTTGATCCGCTTTATTATTCGTGGAAAGAGATCACTCTAGTTATTTCACACTGGGTGATTCCACAGAACTGAGTTTAGTCATATTTAAGGCCTCTGTTGCACTTGTTGTGAATAGATATCATTTCACGTTTTTTGCTTGTTTTTTTATTGCCACGAAGTTTTCTATATGATGAATAGTGGAGATTATAAAACGTTAATCGAAGTCATACTGAAACATCTCACATTTGGTATTTGAGGTGATGATGTGAAAACATTTAAGTTTCGATCGCTTCATGACATTAGGTGTAGACTCGGACTGCGATGATCATGGTATGTCTTTATCTCTACGTTGCTCTTCTGCTGTGTTCTTCATTTACTCTTATATGAAGATATGATATGTTACTCTACTCATTATTAAGATGAACAAGATGGCCGTGGCACACCACCATTGCTGCAGGATCTACATGATCACAGTTTTTACTCTATTTATGAAGCAAAGGAGGTTTGTTTTCTGCAGACGAAAATATTCTCATTTTCGTCGACATGTGTATATGTTGTGTTGGTGGTCTTAATGCAATCGTGTAGTTGCAAAATACTTGATACTTGGTACTTGAATGGTCCGTCCTCACTTGTTGTGCGAGGCCCAGCGTAATCTCCATTTTTCGGAGATTTGTTGGTTAAGCCATTGTGGTTCCTTGGAATCCAGAGGTCAACCTGGCCAAAGTCTTCACCACCATAGACGCTGGTAGCCCTTGTAGATCAGATGGAGATTTGCTACCACTCGACTTTGATACCAGAACGGTGGTGGTTCCTGGTATTGGTTTACTCTTAGCTAGGCTTTCTGATGGGAATGCCTTGCTCCTTATCAGCTTGAGAGACCCTGTTAGGCGATGAATCCCCTGGTGTGCATCGCAGCCCGACACCTAGGAACATCTGCCAGTCACGATGAGGCGGCAAACCGCTGGGAGGTAGTTGCAAAATGATGAACAATTTCTGCAACGCTGAAACTGTAACTTGCTTAGAGCATAAAGTGTATACATTGTTGCAAACAAAGTGGAGTTTTATTTATTCCGTTACCATTCAACTCTATAGTTAAAGAAGCAGCGAGTTTTTCAAAGATTTTCACGGGTTGGCTATTGTTTATTTCTTCTGAAAGCAGTTGTCGAAGAGGGAGCTATGGACTTTTCTACTGACCGGGCAGACAATAAGCACAATTACGTTCGTTCGATGCAAATTCCGCTTGAAGAAGTGATGAGCACCTCGGTTGAATCAGAGCCTTGGAGCTTGTTCGTTGTTATACAGGATCGCTTTCTGTTCCCAAAATGCTATTAATAATCGGGTCATTTTTGTTTTTGGCTCAAAATAAATGCATATCGATCTTTGTAAGGGCGATCTATTACTCACCTACTATCTGGAATCTGGAATCATCTACTGGAATTTACTTATCGAGATGTAGATTTGCTGAACGGTTGTTTAATGGCGAGCGCGGGTGCTTCTGAAACATCTCGATCAATGTTTAGTGGTGGAGCTTCAGCTATTCTCTTGAAATGATGGTTATAGAATTGGAATGTCACCTTTGGCGAGCAAAAAATTTTTCGAACCGTCTACCCACTGAGCGCTCAAAATTGCATTCTTAAGTTTATGCTTTGGTAACGTTTCGAGTATGGAAAAGAAGCATTCCTAGCAGCATGTCCAGTTTTGAACCTATTGAGCAAATGCTCGCGGCTTTTTTTAGGAACATTATTTAAATAAAGATAAAATCTTTGTAAGAATCACTGTGGCAAACAATGCTTAGCAAATCAGCTTTAGAATAATATTTTAAGATCTCTAAGTGAAAGAAATGTCCGTTATCTTTTACAACAACCTATTATGTGGAAAAAACATGGGTTAAAAACGTTGTAATGTTTTTCACCATTTCTCGCCAGGTTTTGGGCAGAGGTTTGGCATCCACTGTCCGGAAGTGCATCGAAAAGGCCACTGGACAAGCTTTCGCTGTTAAAATAGTTGATGTTTCCACAGAAAAGCAGTCAGAGGTGTGTCTCAGCATTTTATTCTCGTTCCCTGCTCTAAATATTATTTTAGGGTTATTTTAGAGAAATTGTTTGCGATAACTTTCAAATGTGAATATTTCAGCATGAAGCGATTCGTCTCAGACAAGAAACCACTTCTGAAGTTGAAATATTGCGACAACTCTCTGAACACCCTTCAATAAGTATGTTTCGTGGACTTTGCATAGAGTTTAATATAGTAATTGTTTTGTGATGTATTTACCGGAAGCTATTGCAGTAACCATTCATGGTTTTTATATTACTCCGTCGTTTCTTTTCGCCGTTTTCGAAATGGCGCCTAAAGGAGAGCTCTTCGACCAACTGAACAGTTCTGTAACTGTTTCTGAGAAGAAGGTTTGTACAAGATATTGGTGGGATTCATGACCTTGGCAGAAGGTAGCTGTGCTACTTATTTTTATTGTTTATTTTTCTATTCATTTTAGGCTCGTCGGCTGATGCGTCAACTGTTCGATGGGGTCGCCTTTATGCATGACAGAAACATTGTCCATCGTGACCTGAAACTTGAGAACATTTTATGTATTGACGATGAAAGGATCGTTATTTCTGATTTTGGGTTCGCAACCTATCTCAAAAAGAGCGAAACACTGCGTGGTAAGTGTGGTTTTGCGAGTTGTGGCATCGAAACGATCAATATGTTTATTATGCCCATGACCAAAAGGTCGAATCTGACTATTTCTAATACTTTTTGTAATTATTCTTTTTATTTCGCAGAATTATGTGGAACACCTGGTTATTTGTCACCTGAAATGTTGAAGTGCCAAATGTATGAAGACGCACCTGGATACTCTCATCCTGTGGATGAATGGGCTCTTGGAGTTATAATGTACACTTTATTAGCTGGCTACGCACCGTTCTATCATCGAAAGTGAGTATTCTCTCACATCCTATGTCAATTCCTGAAAAACTAGGTTGACAATGAAATTTTTCGGATTTGTAGTAGTTGCGGGAATCGGTCTACTTTCTATTAGAAGTTTTTCGCATTCTTTTGCAATATATAAGTGAGCAATTTAATGGTTACGATTCCTGGGGTAAGTATGGATGGGTTACTTACTTCGCATTTATTCGTTATAGGATGATGTCGTTTGTTAAAACAGATATGGGGTTGATAGCGCTGTGGTGCTGTACCAGTTAAGAGGATGGTGCTGGCTCGATCCCCCTCTGGGCTTAGCAAGCCTTTCATCATGTGGTATGTATTGGTACCAGACTTGTCTGGGAAGATCTTATTCGCTGCAATGCAAATAGGAACACTTTAACCCGGGTATCTTAGGACCTTAGTGAAAATCGTCTGGATCAGCATTCAGCGACATTAATGACGGAGGGGAAATCCTCAGGCAGCAATTGAAACTCCACACGAGAAGTTAGAAAACCCTAGTGGATGATGCGAGGAAACGAATGGAATGCAATAAATGCTGGGGTCAGCGCAGTAGATATGAGGAACGAGTAGTGTAAGAAATAAAAATAAGAAGTAGGGATTACTGCTTGAAACGCGATGGTTATAGATGCCGTGCAGTTCACGCATGGTTGCTAAACCGATCCAGAAAGGTGGGTAACTGCTTCATTAATATCTGGGAATGCTGTAGCAGAGGTAGCCTAGAATTCTCTGGTGAGCCAGTTCTAGCATTCAACGACATTCGTGGAGATAAATTCCTCAACAACGATCGAACTCAAACACAGATCGGAAGGGTTTTGTGGGTGTTGCATTGAATGCAGAACAACGTGTAAGAGTTCCGGGGATCGATCAATATGTAAAGATTGTGTCACATAAGTGGTTAAAGATTGAATAAGATAGAGTTTCTCTATAAAGCAAACTAGGAACGCAGGAACAATAGGAATTTCCGTAGTCTAACTGTGAATTTGGAGTTTTGGTTCTGTGTGAACCAAAATATAGGGGTCACTAGTTTGCAAATAGTTGTCCGACGCGGAAACTATGGAGTGTTTGAACAAGTTGCAGTGGTCGAGAATTACTCTTATGTAATTACACTGTAGTACTAGTTTCTATGTCAAACTGTTTCGTAGTTAATATTTCGAGCTTAACTTTACAACAAAAGAAGTTGTCATACTTCACTATGTTTGCGTCAACAACACCCACATGTTCTGAAGTTCTCTAAAATTTTCCTTCAAAGTGGAGCTTATCGCCTAAATAAATTCATAGATCGATGGTAAGTGCACAACTTTTTCTCAGAAATGGTTAGTAAACGATAAACTACCTCTTTATTAAACTATTCTGCTTGCTGTTTTTACTAGACAGTGAACACCTAATAAGCACCCAATAGACACCTAATAAATTTTATGCTAACAGTATTGCCGCTTCGTGTTTAAAGTCGTTTTTCAGGCAGTTGACTATGATGCGAATGATTCAAGAGGGAAAATATGGATTTCAAGCCGAGCCATGGTCGACGATTACCCAAGAAGCAAAAGATATGGTAGATCTGCAATGTGTTCTAACCTTGTCAGGAGTTGCCATTTGGTGTCGCACATATTTGGTTTCGTTCATTTCCGCAGATATCTGGCTTGTTGCGAGTTACCGTCGAAGAAAGGTTAACTTCGCTAGAGTGTCTACGGATGCCATGGATGAATCCATCAGCAGAAATTTGTGGCAGACTCGACATGAGGAAGCGTTTCCGACAAGTTGTTACTGTTTTCTTTTCTTGCTGTTTAGTTCTGCATAAGCGTTGCACATCTTATTATTTTTCTATACTATCCTAGGCGATCGTGTTGGTTCGATTTTTTTGCCGTCTTCAAAAGTACAAATATCTCAAATCTGTTACTGATAGGGAATCTCTTAAAAAGCGTCCATTTAGAGATCGTGATGTAAGTTTTGCAATATTTATCATTGCTTTATTTCCTAGATTTTCCAGAAAATTATTCCTAACTATTTTTCAGATACGACATGAGGCTGAGTCTGCCATATTTTCTGTATACGGTCACTGGGTAAATCGCGGATTCTATTATTCGCGGGATATGCTTTTTGCTAACAAACCGCGTCCAAAGTACAGGAAGGGGAATTATACTACTTCTCGTGAGAATGCATTGTAACCGTTTTCTCTTTAAGTTTCTAGAAAGGTAATTATTAGAATTTTTATGGATAGGAATGACGTACATATTAAGTGAGATGATCTGCGTGGTCCTTTATATTTTCTTCAATTTAGGGAGTTGAGATTCCTTTTCCCTTCACATACAGTTTCAAGTTTTTTCTTTCGCGTTGTAGTCTAGTCTGTTTAATTTCTATCTCGTCCTCATAGATTAAATATTTTGGACATAGAGTTGTAAGTACTGTACATTCATGTATTTATTTAAATGATAGGAACTTCATGTTAATATGAACTGAAGAATTTAAAGCATTGTGGCTTGCAGTGGACTTTACTGAATGTCACACGGATCATGTGTTTCACTACTTGTCAGTTAAGTTTCATGGTAAATTCCCAAGTTTCTTTGAAATAACTAAGAACTAGGTTGCAGCGAAACATGTGTCTCCATTAAGTAGTCTTTCGAATAGCCGGTAGTACACTTTCCTGCGAGAGCTGTCAACATATTTCCAGTGGTCTTTGGGTTGTACTATCGCCTAGAAATGAGGTAAATCAATTTTTGCTAAATTTGAGGGTTGTTCTGCTAACAATATTTATATCATATGCTTGGATTTTCCTTCATTGAAGAATAGACGTTGACGGATTGGAGGTTCTTTTCCCACATGACTATGTCTACCCAGAACAAGTGTTATATATGCACGAGGTTAAAAAGGCGCTTGACGCACAGGTGCGTGATGTTCGTTATGAACACTTTTAAAACTTGTTAGCTATAAGGAATTTCAGGGGCATTGCCTTTTAGAGATGCCATCGGGCACGGGAAAGACTGTATCTCTTCTATCGTTGGTTTTAGCATACATGCGAAGGTTTCCTGATCGTCTTGGTACTGTAGACCTCTTTACTCATCATTTTGCTGCACAACAGTCTTTACGTTTTATTCATCTATTCAGATAAGCTCGTTTATTGTTCACGCACTATCCCTGAAATCGAAAAATGTATGGAGGAATTACGGAGTCTTTACAAGTTCTACGAATGTCATAATTCGGTAGGATTTTCAAGTAGCCCGTCATTATTTGGGAGTTGGGATAATGTCGGTACTAGTGTCGAATCTAGCTGAAAAATTTGCGTTTAGAATGGTCCTTCGTTTACAGCTGTTGCAATGTCAGCTAGGAAAAATCTTTGCATTAATGACTCCGTCTGGCAGTTAAGACAGGGTATGGTGTCACCAATTTGTTACAAGTGTATTCTTAGGGAGATTAGTGAATACTAAACACCCAAAATTCCTCATTAACGATCACTATGACTTGACATTAAAATAACCGAAAACATTGATTTTAGTCATAGGTTTGGAATGATGTTTTCACACATTCTTCTCTGAAATCTATTATTAGGCTTTTCTGTGGATGGCGCCTGCCAAAGACTGACCGCTAGTTTTGTACGTGCTCGTCGACAGGTAGATCCGTCGATTCCAGCGTGCTCTTTTTTTGAAAACCTGAGTGTTCAACAGCATTTCAGTCTTCCACCGGGAGTATGGAATCTTGTGAGCTCTTAGACATGTAACTAGTTATATAGAAGGAAAGAAAACTAAGAAAAATTTATATTATACTTCCAGTTTTCTATACTGGTTTGTTTATGGATTAATGAACAAAGTATGTGTTGTATCTGTATCTCAAGCAATGTTTCTTGGGATTTCCACTTAAATTTCTAATATCCGTCTTCATATCTTGAACTTCAAAGTCACGTTAAGCAGCAACCTTGTTTTTGGATCTGTATTGCTTTAAACATTGCTAAACAGGATCTCTTGTGTTGAACGTTACGATACTTGTTTCAGAATGATCTGAAACAACTTGGTACTGAGCGAGGTCTTTGTCCATATTTCATTGCACGAGAAGCCATCAGGAAGGCATCCATAGTTGTTTATTCCTACCATTATATACTTGATCCCAAGATTGCCGAGTTGGTCTCTAAAGACTTCAGTCGCAGGTAATTTGATGATTTTTTAACACTGAGGATTTTCATACGTTATGATCCTTTTTCCTTTTTTTCTGGATGTCTTTACCATATTGTTAGTGAGAACTTTAGGTCTTGTATTGTTTTTGATGAGGCACATAACATAGATAATGTCTGTATTGAATCGATGTCGGTTACTATTACACAGAAGCACACTGAAAAAGCTGTGCAGGAACTTGTCAAGTTAGTTTTCTCCTATTTACTGTGGAAATTTGTTTATTTAAGGTCAGGGTATTTGTATTATATTTCAATCTACAACATATTCAATAGCATTTTCAGGTTGGATTCAGCAGTTCAAAAGATGAAGGCAGAAAATTCAGAACGCTTGCAAAGTGAATATCAGAAATTAGTGGAAGGTCTGAGGAAGTGGGGTTCACAACATCGAAAAAGATTGCAACCTTAGTCCATTCTTGCATCGCCATTACAATTTGTTTTAGAACCGAACAGGAGAGGATGAACGATGAGCGATTGGCGAATCCCGTTCTACCTGATGCTATTTTGCATGAAGCAGTTCCGGGATCAATCAGAACTGCCCAGCATTTTGTTTTATTCATGAGAAGAGTTGTCGAGTATGTTAGACATAGAATGCGATCTTCACAGGTTTGTATTTTCCGCTTACAGGGTTTGATCTAACTACTGTCCATTTTTGATTCTTTACTAAATTTCTTAGTTTTCCCATCAAGAATAAGTTCTGTTTTTGAGACAAAAATAGCGTAAGCGAGGTTGTTTCTCAGATCGATTTGTTGATTCGGTCTGAAAATGCTAATATTGATTTAAATTTAATTCGTAAATCTTTCTCCGATACAGTTCAGTAGAAGGTTTCCTACTTTTAACTGGGAACACGGCTGACCTTTTCTTGACCTGGAGTGGTTTTTTGGATCTAATTAAGCACAGAGTGGTGTTCTGTTGTTGGCGAGGTAGCAGACTACGTGGACAACGTTTTAAGAAATTGTAAAGGAGACGTGCACATCGATAACGCTCTACTTTAACTACGGGTGTTTTGTTACATAACATTAACTGACTCAATTCACAATAACAAATGTTTGTAATTCTTCGTATTTTTGTTGAGCAAACGCGAGGTGTTATTGTTCTTTATTCACGAATAAGCTGACGTTTCGGCGGATTTCGCCTTCTTCAGAGCCTGGAAAGGGCAAGTTGATAGCAATCCACTCGGCCAGACGCCTCCATAACCAAACAAAGAAACTCCAAACCAAGATTTCAATCACTTTGAACACAACTTTGCACACTCACCGCTTTCTATGAGGTTTCCACTAAGTATGTCACGTAGAGACCAACCGCACAGAAATCACGTGGAAGTATAATGTGCCCTGGCACCTCATGCCTCACAGAAAGCGGCTCTGAAGAAGGCGAAATCCGGCGAAACGTCAGCTTATTCGTGAATAAAGAACAATAACACCTCGCGTTTGCTCAACAAAAATACGAAGAAAATCACTTGATCAATGCCGAGGTTAATAGAAAGTCGGTCGTGGGAGTTACAAATTTTTGTTCTATTTTCTGTCAACGTTTTAAGTACTTTTGTAGGTGCTTCTCGAAAGTCCAGCTGCGTTCGTTAAAGATATTCAAGATAGGATGTACATCGATCGCAAACCGTTACGGTTCTGCGCTGAACGACTAGACAATTTAACTCGAACGCTGGAACTTGCGGATGTATCGGATTTTCGATGTTTGACTCAAATAGCCATTCTTGCTACCCTCGTTAGCACATATTCCAAGGTTAGTTGTAAATCACCTTTAATTTCTTTCTTTTGGCTTGACTTTTGAGCGGTATTATCGCAAGGAGAACGTATAACACACAACTACATGACCTTTCTATGGAGTCACATGGTGCAAAATTTATGACCGATTCTAGTTTTAAACTAACATGTTAGAGCATAGTGAAATGTATTAATGAAATAAGAGATAACTAGAAGTTACATGTCTTTTCTTACAGAATACAATTTCCTCCATTCCAACAGAAAAGAAATAAATGTTGAAAGGCTGTAAATGAATTAATCAGCACATTCTTTGCATGACTTCTCTTCACACTCTTTGTGAGGATCTTAGAACTTCTTGCGTTCGATTCGTTTTCCCATAACCCTTAATCAGAAGGTCTTCGATCTTTTACGTATGGGTTCGGCTGTTGCTTGAGGACTTTCGTTATTGTAAATGTCGTTGTATGCTTATCTAGTCGAGTTTTCCTAGAACTTTGGAATAGCCGTGTTATAATGTTCCCACGAGCACTAGAAAGGATGGGTTCTTCTCAAATAATCTGGCACCAATTTCTCAGCCTGTAAGGGAGGGAAACTTCGTAAGCCCGGAGCTGAGTCGAAGTGACACAGTGTTCGTGATAAACGGCATTGCTATCATTGCGCTATCCATCTGCTAGGTGAACTAATCAAACAAGAATTAAATGAAGAGTTTTTGTAAAGATTATATAGTCACTGGAGCAAAAGCTCTTCTGAAAATCTTATCTATTCGCCATTCAATTAATGGGGAAATTACCGTTTTTTTACCGTCGAAAGGCAGCTTTATCGCAAATGTTTTAACCGCACTCGTTCTTTAGAAACGTCCGTTGTTTTTTTTAAAGTGTGTGTTTTTCATACTCATCAGGGTACTCTTAAATATTGTTCAATGTATGTAACCATATGTGGAACCGACTATTCTTTTCTTAGCAGTTATGTTCAGGGAAACTTTTGATAGACATTTGTTTTATTGCAAACTCAGGGATTCTCAGTTATCATTGAACCAAGTGAGGCGAAACAACCGGCACAAATGACATTATCTTGCATGGATGCGTCAATCGCCATTCGGCCAGTTATTGAACGATTTCAAACAATAAGTTTCAATGTTTTCATACCTGATACTTTTACCCATTCTACAGACACTGAGGTTTAACACTTAAACTAATCTATTTTTTAGGTGATTATCACTTCGGGTACACTGTCACCATTGGAAATGTATCCTAAAATTTTGGACTTCGATCCAGCAATTATGGCGAGTCTCACAATGACACTTGCGCGACCATGTCTGAGCCCACTGGTCGTAGCGAAAGGAAATGACCAGGTTAGCCTTTTAACATTTTAATAGGTGATGTTTGTGTGTATGGTTGAATTGTCTTTGGGTGCAGACGATTGGCGATTGGTTGTCTGCATAAATCTCTAGTAGTTGTTCTTTCCCTAACAGGTCTTCTTAACAATTCCGTCGTTTTCAATTTTGTCGTATGTACCTGGGTATTTGCTTCATCTTTTTCATTAGTATAAGTGGTTGTTACAGAATTTTAGCGAAGAAAGAATGAAAAGAAATTCCGTTTTCTAATTATTTCCCTAGTGTACAGGTTGCCTTTACAATGGGGAACCTTACCGTTTAGGTTGCGATGACGTCCCGTTTTGAGGAGAGGAATGATGTTGCCGTAATTAGGAATTATGGAAGTCTGGTTCTAGAGATGGCTTCCGTCGTTCCTGATGGAATGGTTGTATTTTTTACAAGTTACCTATATATGGAATCCGTTATAGGTGTGTGGTACGAGCAGGTGGGACAAATTTCTGTTTTCCGTTTTTCATGACTTTATTATTCAGAATAATAAATTATCATTACCATACCTCTTGAATCGTTGTCATTTATAGCACGTAATAGACGAGTTAATGAAGTCGAAGCTTCTATTTATCGAGACTAATGATGCTCTTGAAACCTCTGTAGCTTTAGAGAAGTACAGTTTTACATCTTTCATTTTCCACAATTTATTCTGTAAATTACCCAGCAGTCACGTTCTATGCAGGTATGTGGACGCTTGTGATAGTGGTCGTGGCGCATGCCTTTTCTCTGTGGCTCGGGGAAAAGTGTCTGAAGGCATCGATTTTAGTCATCATCTCGGTATGTTTCGTGAAGTATTTCTTCGTATTTTGTATTTGTTTCTGTATTAGCCAGATTTTATAGTAAAATTTCAACGTTTCTTGCTGATTATTCTTCATCTTTTTTAGGTCGCTGTGTGATTATGCTAGGTATTCCATACGTGTATACGGAAAGCCGCATCTTACGAGCTAGACTAGAGTATCTTCGGGATCAGTTTGGAATAAAGTACCTTATTTCTTTCCTTATTAAAGTGTCCAGCGCTTTCACATCTTTGCTCTTTCATTGAAAACTATTCTAGGGAGAATGATTTTCTGACGTTTGATGCGATGCGGCACACTGCTCAATGTATGGGTCGGGCACTTCGTGGCAAAACAGATTACGGGCTCATGATTTTTGCCGATAAGGTTCGCCTTGTATTCTGCAGTTTATGTAAGGAAATAATAGATAAATGGGCGCATGTAGCACAGCAGCTAGAGGCGTCGTACGATACACATGGGATCCATCCCGCACCCGAGGCTCACTAAGCCTTCCATCCATCTGGGTTCGGTAGGTTGGTACCAGAGCAGTCTGGGAGAATGATTGTTTGAGGATTTTATAATGCACATTGACTCGATACATCGGTAGGCCACCGCGAGTCAATGTATAGACGAAATATGCGTCCAGTCATTTCTAACGGTGCTTAGTGAAGTGGAATGCATGGCGCATACCTCAGACATTGATCAACACCAATAGCTCTATCCTTTATCTTTTGTAGAGGTAAAAATTCTAGAAAACCGGGGTTAGTTAGGCTTATCGAGTTATATTTCGAAGACACTAGGACATCGGTATAGTTTGATCCTCATCATGATGAACGATTTTTAAAAGCCATATCGAATTTTGTGAATAGGTTTTCGATAGCATTTGTTTCCAGACATTTTTGGACATTCTGTTTTTTCAAAGTAGTGCTTTTGTATAAGATTTTTAGAGGTTTTCGCGACAAGATAAACGTGGAAAACTGCCTCGTTGGATGCAGGAATATTTGGAGGAGACGGCTACAAATCTAAGCATTGATGAAGCTGTGCAGCTTGCACGACGGTGTGGTATAATCGTTTATTTTTTTCCACTTGCATGTGGTATTGTTAGTCTTTGTTGAAAACTGCTGTATCATGAGAGATATGCTTGTTGATGGTATAATCTTGATTGAGGATGAAGAGTTTCGACCTTTACTCATGCAACTAGAATTGTTTGTTCTCTGTAAACACCGAAGACTTTGTTCTACTTTTAGAACATCGAACTATTAAGTGCTAATATCAAGTTCTAATTTCAGTTCAGTCGGTTACATCCTTCGTTCTCGAAATTTTCAATCAAAAAAAGCTTTTAACTTCGAGATAATTTTTTTCCTTGTGTTTCTCAGGTGGCTTACATTGATGGCACAGCCGTTTACAAAGGCAGATCAGCTGGGAATTTCCCTTCTGACATCGGACATGTTGACGGCGAAGACCATGAAGAAATTCGAAAAAGTCGTCGAACACGTTGACTAGTGAAACAACTTGGTGTCCATTTTCGATTCATCGTTGATTTCCGGTGCTTATTACGGAACTTATTCGTTGTTATCTCAAGTTTCTACGCTTTTAACCTCTTTCGGTTTGATGATGAAGTGCAATTCGTGCTTTAATTTGGTCATTTAGCATAAATTCTCATCAATTCCATTATCATTGCTGTGTTATCCTCCGTCCTGTTACAGGATTATTGATGCCTTTTCGTAGTCGTTACTACGCGCTCTAGAATTCATCTTGTTTTTGTTCTCAGTACTGTTAAAATGTATGCCTTTGTTTGGATTTTGTTTGCCGATACTTTTATGCTCTGAATTTGGTATCAATCTAGCGAATATTAGTGAGACAACATATATTTGGAGCCATAGATGTTCATCATTCTCACAATACCGTTGTATAAACTGATTTCATCGGTAAAGTTATGTGGTTCTAATGTTTCCATATAGGTCTTTACGAATCCATTGTTTGATGTTTTCTAACTGATTGCTCGGGTACGTAAATAAATAGAATTTCGAGTCTTCACGTATCTCAGCTCATTATTACCGTTAGTACCAGTGGTGTCGTTTAATATCCTGAAGTGAGATGTGTACAGCGTTGTGAATTTTACTGGAGTCAAGGTTTGAACTAGTAAAAATACGCTGTGGTTTCGTTGTTATAGCAATGAAATGCTAGTACGAGCTAGTCTGATACCGTCACTATCGTTCATTGTCTGTTTTACACTTTGTATTCATATAATATGATCTCAAAGGTGGAGTGTTTGTCAGAGGTAGGGTTGGATAACAGGTAGCCAGATTTTGTGTAAAACTTTTTGGTTGAGGTGCTGTAACAAAGTAACAATCATATTAAATTATGAAACGCTGTCATTTTATGAAAAAGGCCAAGAGGAGGAAGCTGTGGTGCTATCCAGAGATTTTCGCGGTACTAGATCTCGTTTGGATGGTCCATGGTTCACCTCTGATTGTAGCCGAAGTTTTATCTGATGGAATGATGGTTGTTCCCAGAGCAGCAGCGATACTTGGAATAAGTCGACCAACAAGGAGCTCGTTGTCTTACTTATTTTACATGACCTATAACCACATCTACTGTGCAGGTCCTAGCACTTCCTGCATTCGACTCGTTTCCTCGCATCCGACTTCCACGGTGGTCTTAGAACATTTCGCATGTTGCTTCATCTGCTCTCCGAGGATTACACCTTGTTTATAAATAGTAGAATGCTGGTCGGATCGATTCTCTTTGCAATGTTACACGGCCGTTCTAAGCCGTCCTCACATAGATTATACGGGGGCGTTACGGCGGAGATCGAACTAGCAGCTTTGCTTCTTGATCGACGCCATCGTTAATCACTGCCCTATCCCAGCCTCCTAGAAGCTTGTTATCAAGTTCAGAGAGTTCATTGTTGAATAAGGAAAATATGCACTTTTTTTCACTATGATACGGTGAATAGCAAAATTCAGTACCAATATAGTGGGAGGCAACGACTTGACCATTACAAGAGATTTGGTATGGGAAACTACCCATGTGTGATGCTGTTAAGAACACCCAGAAAAGAAAGCATAGACTATGGCATGGTGGAACATTTATTTTTGGAAGCTTTGTAAAATTTATTGGTGCCGCATAATTTGTGAGAATGCGACAAGTATGCAAGACATATCTTTGTTTAGGAACATCGAGTAGTTCCGGTAAGAGAAGGAAGCAGATATTTGAAGAGATTCGAATGACTTTTGGGAGCCCAATAAAATGGTCAGTAAATTTATTCATTCATTTTCCAGATTTAAATATCATTAGTGTGTTTCACCTCATGTTCATATTAGTTTAAAAAAGTATGAAGGGATGCTATACACGCCTCATTACATGCATACCTACATGGTAACACAGAGTGCTCGTTTTCACTGGTTGTGCGGTTGGAGTTATGAGATCAGTCTAGCCAGTCTACCCCAAATCGCCGTCACCATAGGTAGTCGCCGCTCTTGTGGATTGGAGAGAGATTGCCAACATGCGGCAAGTTTGACACCACGACGGTGGTGGATCCTGATATTAGTTTACTCTTAGATGGTTTTCCTGATGGAAGCGCCAGGCTGCTTCTCAACTTGAGAGGCCCTGGTGGGGTTATGAATCCCCACGCTGTACATCGCAACTCGACAAGCAGGAAAGTCTTCCAGTCACAATGAGGCGGTAAACTGTTGGGAGGATAAATTCCACATTATGTCTTCAATATTTGTTGACATAGGTTTATTTCTCAGAGAAAGAGAGAGAACTACGTCTACTTTTTCATCATTGACGACCTATTTGTGTGTAGTGCTTATTAAATAATATCATGCAAATGCTGTTTCGGAGTGTCCAAATTTCTAGGGAGCGGACTGTATGTTTAAATATTGAAAATAAATCAAACTTGATAGCACTTAACAAATCTGTTTAAACTACTGAAAATACATAATCATACTATGTGACATAAATTCAAATGTCATAAGCGGACATTGAAATAAGTCATCTGAATAGGCGTAGTGACGAAATAAGTGTTTCAAAAAGCTCAGAATTTCGTTGACTTGCTTGTATCAGTCCATTCAAGTAACTGTATAAACAGAAGAATAGGGTTGTGAGATATCTTAATTCTGGACTTCTTGTTATCAGTTTACTTGTTTGATGAAAGACGTACAGAAATTTGAAACTGAGAGGTAAAACCCGTACAAACTTCTATGCTTTCAGATGGGACCCTCATATTTTCTGATTGGGAGAAGAGGCATCTTCCTTTCGAGTGGATTACTCAAAGGTCATTCGAAATGGCAAAACATAAAGGAAATTAAGGGCAAAAACGACTTGTTGAAATCAAGAGCAATGAGCATTCTACTTAAAAAGGTTTGTTTTCAATAAATAGCGTCGAGTTTACTTGCAAAGGATCTTTAATCTACCTGTAAATGATTCGAGAGAAACCGTATTTAAAAACTTCCCAACTAGGTGTTCGGATTGTCCAGGAAATGATGATAAATTGGTGAAATTTTGCTTGAGTTCGCGACTGTTCTTAAGAATTCCATAAGTCTGTCTGGAATCCTTTTCTTTAAATTGGAAACAAACATTAGGTTCTAACAGACACGTTTATCTACTTCGATCGACTCGATAGAACTTTCCTCATATTCAGTTTGCACTTTTATGGCCAATTACTGGAACCACCTGGACAGAATGTTTGCTATGTTGGCCACATTTAGTGGTAACCTGTTCATAACTTGTTTTGTAACTCATTTATGGTTACCAAACACATTCGAATATTTAATGGAAGAGAGCCAGAATTTTACTGTTAAAATGCTTAACTGCCACGACCGACTTTCTATTAACCTCGGCATTGATCAAGTGATTTTCTTCGTATTTTTGTTGAGCAAACGCGATGTGTTACTATTCTTTGTTCACGATTAAGCTGACGTTTCGGCGGATTTCGCCTTCTTTAGAGCCGCTTTCTATGAGGTTTCCACTAAGTATGTCACGTAGACCGCAACCGCACAGAAATCACGTGGAAGTATAATGTCATTAAAATGCTTAGTTTGGTTGAGTTCGGCCACGAAGTTTTAAACAATGAGAAAGCAGGCATACCTAAATTATGGATAACGAAAAGCATTCACTAGTCATCATGACTTGTGAAGAACAGAACGTCGTTTAATCGCTTACGGTTTGTACAACCACAATACGTTGCATTATCAGCACATTGAGGTTAGCCAAGACTTTGGAAATCTCCGTTTTTTATGGCTTCGGAGCCGTTTTCCATTAGCGGGACTGAAACTCCACTGATCCTTCTTACTTGGATACTTGGATGCTCCGTCCTCATTGGTCGTGCGGGCCTCAGCACAATCCATTTTTCCAAAGTTGTGCTGGTTTGGTCATTGTGGTTCTTTGGAGTCTCGACGTTAGTCGGACCAAGGTCTGTCCCAGGTTGTCACCACTACATACAGACGCCGCCCTTGTGGGTCAGAGGGAAATTTGCCACCATGCAACTAGTTTGATACTGTGGCGGTGGTGGGTTTTGGTATTGGTTTACTCTTGGCTGGGTTTTCTAATGGAAATACCGGATTCCTTCTCAGGTTGGGAGGCACTGCCGTGGGATGAATTCTCCCACTGTACATCGCAGTCCGACAGCCAGGAACGCTTCCCAGCCACAATGAGGCGGTAGACCCTTGGAAGGCCCTTAGACTTGACTTTGAAATTCAAATCAAGTGAATTAGTTGTAACAATTGCTGATCCTTGTTGCTGCATAATATTACGATTGCCTCACGATAATGCAAGGTATCAACATGTGTTTAAATTGTTGAGCTTACACGAGGTTGTTACACCACTTTTATTCGGCTAACGTTTCGGCGTCATCGTTTTCATCGTAGCCGGTGATCTGAGTCGATGACCCGCATTGTTCGCCTTCACGATATGGCTTCTTCATCTTCATATCGATTCGGACCTTCCTCAGTGGAGCATCTCTCGAATGAAGCATACTGAACCGGCGGTGCTCTCTTATACAGAGCGGTTGAACTTCTTTTAAATGCAGGCTGTTGTAAATCTTTCACATCTTTAACACATATGTGACTAGGCCTTATTTTTTCGTAGCCACCACATCGGACTATACCTATTTTTCCATCGATCGTAGTCTGCATTGAAAAATTTATACAAAACTGTTTTTTTGCAAATTGTTAGTAAAAATGGGTACAAACCACGTTTGGAACAAAGTGGTGTTGGATATGTTAGACATTGAATGCAAAAACTATAGAAAACGTACTCCACTGTGAAATAAAGAAAGGAAAACGTCAATTGAAATGCATACGGTCCATGTATACGGTCACTTGCGCGTTATACTTCCACTTTTCTCACTTCTCCTTATTTACAGTAATTTGTCTTTTAACGACACCAAGTGTTCTTAACTTGACGAAGGTTTAAAGTAACCGCTTGCTTAAACGGAAATACTAAGAAGTTGCTACAGGAACTTTTACACTGCAATAAAAAGGAAATTTCAGGTGAAACCTGTTGTATCTCGAGGAGGATTTGATCCAAAACTGAATAAAGAGTTGGCTGGTCTTGAGCAAGATTTTCGGTCTCAAGGTCTTCCTCTGGATACTTTCAGAAATTTCCTAGTTAAGCTAAAGGCAAGGTAGTTTTCATGTTTTCTAAAACATTTATTAAAATGATTGAATATTGTTCCCGAGAAACGCACAGAATATTAGAGTTTTCTTAACAATACAAGCATGGTAGCATGAAGCGAGTGCAACATGTGCACAAAATTAGGCTTTACACCAGGTAGGAATTTTCTTCTAGAGAAAAACTTTGATTTTTTAAGGAAAAACCTGAATACGAAGTTGTATTCAATGTAATTGGACCATCGGGCACGTTCTTCATCGTTGAAGCTGAAACAGAAAGCAGGAAAATGATGGAGAATACAATGCGTAAATACTTCAATAAGGTATTGTCGTTTTAGTTATACTGTAAATGAGAAAGTGAAGTTGGAAAGTCGTGAAAGGAGGAAAAATCTAGAAGCTTTCTTGAATGAAGAGAAAACGTACCTTGCAAACGTATGTTCTAGTTCAGACATGATTCATGAAACGCATAGACGAAACTAAACTTTTGAACTTTGAATAGCCGTATAGGTGCACAAAGGTGCTGCTTTGAACCCAGTGTCACTTCCCATGTTACAGCAAGGTTATCCGTTCAGCGAAAATGGTAGCTGTTTCGTGTGAGAAAAAAATCATATCTTTATGGATTGACTCTCTCAAGTCATTCTGCAGATAACTCGGCCATTCTATAGAGTTCATTCTATTAATGTCAGAAAAAGTAGCAAATCCACACTTTTTTGCTTCAGCGAATTTATGAATGAACAACGAGCGTAACAGCGCTTACATTTTCGCTTATTTAAACTATACTATTAAGGTGGGCGGATTCCGCTTTGCAAGTGATCCATCAGCTGTACAGAGCTGGTTTCAACAAAAAGGTATTGTAAATGTAAAGGAAGTGGTAGAAGGCAGACCAGTTCCCCTTGAAAAAGTACGCTTTTTCAGACTGAATTCAGTAGAAGTATCGTTTACTTGTTATAATTTACGGTTGCAGGAAATTTGTTTAGATGGAAGAGATTGGAATTGAACTGGACTGTGAAGATGTGTCTCTCGTCGAAAGCGATGGGCGCACCTTCGAACTGGTTTGTGAATCAGAAAACTTGTCAAGGGTGGAAAGTGCACTTGCTGATCGAGGGTTTGTAATTTGCTATTCTTATACTTTATTTTTTGCCCGAAAAACGCTTAAACAATAGATTATGAAAATCTGTATTTACTTTCAGTGGTATATAGGTTGGAGACAATATTGGTGTCTAGAGGCTTTAGTTTTTGTGCCTAAATTTCTATGTTAAGCATTCTTTTGGCTGAGCAAAGACGCGATAGCTGGTAAAACATTACGTTTGCACCGAGAGTACGCTAATACCTTTAGGTTTTTAAGTAACGGTTTAGGTTCAGCATTGAATCGGCAGAAGTACAATTTCGACCAACCCATCCTGTACGCGTGAATGGTGAGGATGCCGCGAAAATAGGAAAATTTTACGACTTATTACAGGTTCGCTTAGTTTATGCTAGTAGAATTTTTCTATTCAGTCTTTACTCCTTAATTATCCTCTCCACAATTATTTCTTGTTGTTTTCTCTTATAATCTGAAAATTTCGACTGTAGTCAAATATCCAACTTTCATCAATTTTTGATTTAGTCTACTCGATTCTACTTTAAGCGGCCTGTTGTAGGAAGACGAGTCAATACGTCAAATTTATGATAATATTGAACCAGGATCATGAGATTTTACAAGTTTGCGGAGGGATGTCGGAGAAAATTCTTCTTTGTAGTATATTTACAAAGAGATTAATGTTAGTACTTTCCGCGATAGTAGATTCATTGTTTCTGTTGTTCTGGATTTTTATGTTTCGAGGTTGGTTTTGTTTTGTTTAATGAAAATCCTATCTTGGTTTCTCATTTCATGATATATGATATACATGGTTTCGAGAATGCAGCGACGGTTACATTTGAACTTCATTTCTCTGCTAAGTAAAGGATATAGAGTTGTTAAGTTTTCACAAATCCCAGAATTTTAATGGTAATCATTGCCTGGATCATACAGCTAAATTCTCTCAGATTCTTATTAGCAAATTTATAAAGCTTTTTCTTTGGTAGCAAAATCCAATGTTGTCCATTTGAGTCCGCAGTACGATTCTTGTTGCCTTCGTTTGCCTGAGCTAATGGAACAGATGTGAAGTCTTAGCTTATTCGGGAAAACACTACTGGTTTTCTCCTTTTCTAGTTCTGATGCCTTGGTTTTCAAACAAACTTTTATGCTCTTGCACTAATATCGTATGACGTTTCAAAGCTCATATTCCGTTTTGATTTTTATTTTGATGTTTTTCAATTTGTGATAATTTATGTTCAATGTAGGCTGTTGGATAGACGTGTACTCTTAAGCAACTACGAATAAAAATAAAAGAAACAATTTTATACGTCTTAACGAGTTCAGACTTAGATGAGAAACAACGGAAATGCAGCTCAACATCAGCGCTGCCTTTTGGCAGGAAACTCCACCAATAATCAAATTCGACTTCAATGTCAAATGTCATGATAGACATGTACTCTTAAGCAACTACGACATTCGCCGACACTGTAATCATTTGGAGGATTCCAAGCATAAGCCACTTAGCGAGCATTGCCTGTACCATACTCGTCAAACACAATACCAGATTGGACTGTAGAATTCAAACGTCTGAACAATCTCTCATCTTTGAAATCTAAGATTAGTGCAGTAAAGTGGATCGTAACAAGATAAAATCATCCAGTACGGTAACCACTCACGCCTTGCAATTCCTTGCCTTGTTTGTTTCCACGTTAACCTTCGCATCGCCTGTGGAAGGTAGGAGTCGTTTGTGGATCATATGTTGGTATTCATAGGTGTTATCATGATGTTATCAGCTTCCTTGTCTTCCATATGAAGAATGGTTGTGAATTTTGAGTTTTCCTACAATACTTGCAGTAGATTTTGGATAGGAAATTTCAGTTATAAGCTCCGGATGATCATCTGCTCATTGAGGCCCATAGTCTGTGTTGATCCATCAACCATTATGAAGACTAATATCTTCACTACGAAGCTGTAGAAACTATTTCTGCATTGTACCCTTTCTGGCCTTTGATGACATTTTAGTTTGTTCCTGTTGTTTTCGACAAAAACGAACACTAACCACTATACTACTAAGAAGTGTATTGCACTCTGGTTAAAGGTGCCCTACAATACACACGTCGTCGTGGGTTCGATCTCGTGCGCCGGGCTCGTTAGGTCTTCTAAAAAAAATCGGTAAGCTGTTATCAGGTCTGGGTCTAAGTTCATCTCTAAATTGGTCTAGGAGGATGACATCAGTGACTTGATACATCCGTAGGCCACTGCAAGTAGACTAAAGGAGATACACTTTCATTCACCCCGCCAGTACTTGATGAATTCGAACGTATAGCGCATCACTCAGGGATCAATCAACGCGGAACGCTTTATCTTTTTATCCGGTTAATCTATGTCCAAGTTTGAACTCATGGAGCAGAACAACGGATTTCTATGCTTTGATAATACCATCAACGTCATCCTAAAACCATTGTAAACTATAAACCATAAAGTAGAAGAAGGTGAAATCTGCCGAAACGTCAGCTTTAACGGCCTAGAGAATTATCGAGAACTATTTCATCAATGCCAAGGTTAATAGATAGTCGGTCGTGGGAATTCCAAACTTTGTTTCAGATGGAAAACTACAAACAAGTTGTTGAGCAAGAAAGAAAGTTTAGAATGTTCTCCAACAACAGTACGACAAGGAATGCTGGTTATAAAATGCATTTGTGGACTTCATATGGAAGAACTCCATTATTTATCCATCAATCTTGGCGATTTACGATTCTGGGTATCTCGTTTGTAGGTGAAGAAAGAACGAATTCTAAGCAGACAAGCACCCGTCAGCTGGTATTACTTGTCGTCGCGTTGACTATCGAGTAACTTGAGAAGACACCAGTAAACCTTCCGTTTCTCCCTGTCGCGTGCATTAGCATCCCGGGGAACCCAGACTAACATCTCTTGTCCGTCAGTTGCCCTTCATACTCATTACGTGTCTGAGCCACCTTATTTTCCACTGTTTGACGTTACGAACGGCTTCTTTGAATTTTGGTCGTCGATGCAGGCTGGTGCCTCGGATCTCTTCCCTCACTTATGTGATACAATATACTCCTAACATCGTCCTTTCGAAAGCACATTCTATAACGGTGAATGATTCTTCATCCTAGTTACGTAGCTACCTAGTCTTTGACGTACACGTTCAGACAGGAAGAATTGTGGAGTCAAAAACTTGGGTAAGCAGGGGGTGTTCTCTGTTCTGCTCACTACATCTTCGATGTTCTTGACAGCTTCCCAAGCCATTCGCTTCCCCTTGCTCAACTGTGGAGTGAACTCGCTCATCATGTTGATTTCGCCACATAGATAGACGTAGCTGGAGCATTCGGAGATATTCGTTCCTATTGAGCGTGAATGGGGCATACGAAACCAATCCGTTCCTCATGAACATCGTTTTTGTGAGATTTAGTCGAAGGCGAATCTTTCCACAGGCTCTATCAAAGTCGTCAAGCATACGTTCCGCTTTGCTAATGTTTGGTGTTATAAGGACGATGTCATCAGGAAAGCGAAGATGGTGTAACTGCTGACTATCGATTTTCACTCCTATATTATCCCATTCCAGTGTTCGCATGACGTTCTGGAGGGTAGCGGTAAATAATTTTGGCGAGATAATATCGTCTTGCCTAACCCCTCTTCTGTACCCATGTAAATATCGTTCTAGAATGGCGATATTTTAGCTGTGAAATTTTTGTACAGCTTACGAAGAATCTTTATGTACTGAGTAGGGACTTCTGGACTATCAAGGGCTTACATGCTTCTATCTCAGTTGAGTCAGGCCTTCTTTAAATCGATGAAAGTGATACAGAGTGGTCTTTTGTACTCTCGCGATACTTCAATGAGTCTTGTTATCGTATGGATGTGGTTCATCGTACCAAATCCTTTTTGAAACCCTGCTTACTCACATGGCTGCCTTTCGTCCAATTTTCTATCAATTCTGTTTAGGATGACTCGAGTGAAAAGTTTGTAGACGACAGACAGCGAGCAGATTGGGCGATTGTTGCCGATATCGTGTAGGTCACCCTTCGTGGACAATAACACGGTCTTGCTGGTCTTTCACTGAGTAGGGACCTTGCATTCAGACAGGTAACGTGTGATGAGCCTAGCCAGTGTGTTTACGACGACTGGCGGAGGGTTCTTCAGGTGTTCAGGTCTCGCCCTGTTCGGACCTGGTGTTGTTCGATTTTTCATCGACGAAATAGCATGTCGAATTTCGGAAGGAGGACCAGTGCTACGACATATCCATCCTCTTTTATTTCATATGAGAGCAGGAGGACGTGGCTACTGAAGATATCGGAGTAGTAGTCGTGTACGATTTTCTCCATTGCTTTTCTGGAAGCTATAAGGGTTGCGTCTGACCGCCAGAGGGGGATCTGATTGGCGAAGCTTCGACGACTTTTTCGAATGCCCTTCCCAGCCTCTCCAGTTTAGGCCATAATCGCTGTTTCATTTCTTTAACATCTTTTTTTTGTCGCCCATCCGCATTGTTTTGCAAGTTCAGACGCGAGTTGGTGGTTGCTTGTAGCTCGTGGGATTCCACGCTGGCGTAGCAGCTCGAGTGTTTTCGGAGACAGACGTCTCTTGGTGACTTTCGAACTCTCAGCTTTCATAGCGCTAACGTGAAGATATCGAATGAACCAGTTACAGTGCTCGCTGATGTTGTCAAGAACAGCATTTTTCCAACAGTCAACGAATGAACTGAATAAACTCAGCTTATCGTGGTTCTTGGACTTCGTTTTTTGAATTGATCGGCTTTTCCTTCTTTCGGGAAGATATGAAATATTCCACAGAGGAGGCGATGGTCCGAAGCCGTGTCGAATTTAGGGAAAATTGACATAGGTTGGGCAAAACTTTCGATTTACTATGATGTGGTCTATTTCGTTATAGCACTCTTTATTGGGAGACTCTCACGTCCAGCGTTGAGAGTGGGGCTTCTGGAATTGCGACTTACCGTGAATGTCGTGGTCGCCATGATAAACTCAGAGTACCATTCACTCTGCTCGTCCCTTTCTAATCCGTAGGTCCTAATGTGACATTCTTCAAGCGTTCTTCTGGGTCCATTTTTGGCGTTAAAATCCTCAGTGATGACCTTAAAGAATGTGTGATTTTCTCCGCAGAACTTTTCAAGGTTCGTGTAGACTTTCTCTTCGTCATGGTTTGATGTCGCTGCGGAAACGGCGAAGTCTGTCGAAGTCGGTGCTGGTGCTCATCTCTTCAGCGGTAAATGTTCGATTCGGGTTGTTAATTGCTCAAATCAATCCATATGCATGGCCACACTCGTGTTGACGAGAACGCCGTCGTCGTCAATCGTTCTATTGTCGCATGTTCCGAGGAACAGTTCTCTTCCGATATCATTGACGGGGATGAATGGGTGGTGTCTTCTCGGCTCAGCCACCCATGATGCCGTACCCTATGGTTCTCAATTGCGTGATGAAATCCCAAGTGAAGGTCTCAGATGCAAGTAATCATGCAATGCGAGTACACGTCTTCCCTCACTGTAGCCCTTTGCGATTTAGGAAATATAGAATCCTGCTAGGGTTTTGGCAACCTTTCAGTACTCAGCCTACCCAGCACTACAGTATCGGGGTTTCGTTCAAGGTCGGAGGAATGATGATCACTTATTTTACTGCGTTTAGCGTTTGATATCCGCGGTATAGCTTCCTCAGTTCTGAACGTCGTAGTTGGGTATTCTCATGGGTTGCTTTCCAGTGTCTCTCCCGGAGTAGATCGGGAGGTTATTTGTTGGAGGCGTCTCTTAACCGCCTGCCAAATACTTCCCTGTCACTTGATTACAAGGTTTTGGCAGAACTGACTCGTAGAATTCAATCCGCACAAGTGAGAACACCCAATCAAAACAGGAAGTCCGTCCTCTGGATCCACTTGCTTCTCAGAGAAGCACAAGGTTGGTTTTGCTCCACGACAAACCCTTATTGGCCATCTTGGGAGACACCCCGTTGCTTCGCGACTAATAAGCATGAGATCCCTCTATGAGCGGGGTCCGTGGAAGCAGGCGATATCGTGTTGAAATTTCTACTTAGTTTTCACTTCATACGTCCTTCGAGCGCTTTGGCTGTATTTCAAAGGTCTCATCCTTTATAATGAATTCGATGTGCTTAGTCCGAATCATTTTAAAAATTTTAATCCCAAAAAAGGTTAATAGAGGGCACAACCAGTTCGAATACTACTTTTGATAAATTGTAATCCAAGCGAGTAAGGAAAAAAATAGCTTCATTTATGATGGACTCATCTCTAGATCTACTTGGAGAACTCGTGTAAGCTGAACTATTACACCACTTTAGCTGGTGAACACTTGATCATTCGTATATAAACAGAATTTATTCTGATATAATCTCGGCCACCATTACAATGATATTATTATATGAAACGTGTGGAGATCCGTCAACAGTTATTTGTGAGAAAATTGGGATAAACAATAAATAGAAAGGCAGTACAGAGAGGAAAACGCTAGCCGACAACATCAACAGATATAGCAGTGAAGAATAAACGAGGATAATATGTAGTTGTGATATGAATGCGCTACCGTAGATGCTGGACCAGATTCTGAAGACGTCGAACATGTGTTCGAGCGGCTGTAAGAAGACGTGAACAGTCATGGCGTTCTGACATTTCTGCAATAAAAGAGATTCTGTTATGGGTTAAAAAAGTGGTGGGTAATCGTACTACTTCTGTAACAGGAGCCTTGCCGGATCCTACGCTCCCGCTCTACCAGAACTCTCATCCTATCATTTAATTCATACAAGACCTGTCTGCGAGGAAAAAAGCTGGAACTTCGATCAATAGGCTCAACAAGCTATGGTATAAGTGATAAATGCCTTCAAACAACTATTTCACGAATGGAGTTGGATGCGTGGCGTATATCTCATGGATTTCTCGACGCCGAACGCTTTACCTTTTTATCTTTAGGAGAAAGGCAAAAGTTCGGAATATATTCCGTCATAATCTTCTTGATTTTATCAATGTACACTCGGAAATATGTGACATTTTATCTGTATCTCCGCTAAAAATCTACTACATGGCTTTGTTAAGGTGAAGGATTCCGATTTGTTGAACTTCAGCAAACAAAAAAGCTCATCCTTCGGCAGAATGAACCAAGATGAGCAAATATTTCAAATATTGTTTTGAAGGCCCAAGTAAGCGTGTACCTAGTATCATGGAAGAGTCAGGCGATCTATGAGTAGCTACCTCCTTCTTTCGAAATAGTGAGTAAAGAGCCTCACATCGTATGGAATGTTTTAACTATGCTCATTTCAATCAATATAGGTGATCAACAAACTTAAATGAGGCTGTGGAACTGAGAAGAACATCCGATTTTAGAAAGTTAAATGGCAGTTTCAAAAGGAATGCAGAGTAGACCGTGAATTTCAAGCCACCGCTAATCAGCTTATCATCCACACAGCTGTAGAAGCTCACTTAATCGTGTCACATTTCCAAAAATGTTAATTTTCCGTGCAATTACTCCATAATTGGAAAATGAATGTGGTATTGTAACTATTTGTTGCTTTCATCCTACGTTAAAACTTTTTCTTATCATTAGAATTTCTCTCTTAACTTTTATTTACTGCCTATTCTTTTTTTTTATAGCAGATTCTAATGTGAAACAAAACCACAAGGATGCTGAGATGTAATCAAAACTCAGAACATCGGTTAGGCTTCGAAGCCGCGATTACAATTCGCGGGAGAAATATAGCCCACAGAATGAATGACTAATGAAGTTCGTTGAATGAAGGTGATTGAATGCATATCTGGTGTATACACTGACTCATGGCCTACCGATATATAAAATCACTGCCGATATCCCCAGATAGACCTGGTACCAATTTACCCACTTCGGATGGATTAAGGGCTTGGCGAATTTGGAGTGCGAGAACGAACCCACATACATTGTAGGGCACCGTAGCCACTGCGCTACACGCGCTCCAGAATAAATTGCGGCGGATTATCACTCCAGTCAGCTAGCGTTGTATTGTATTGTGTTTTTATGGAAGTAAATGTATGCTGTTTAAAAACCTCGCGATTGCTGAACAAGAAAACGACACTTTCATGTCTATTTTTCAAAATACGTGCAAAGTATAAATATATTACTTCAATAATGCTGAGATCTTCGCAAAACTCCGGACCGCAGGTGTCTGCGGCGGTGAACCATTGTGACACCTACTGGTCACGTTTGCTACTAGTAGCTGAGAGGCAGGCGAAACGAAGGACCCGTATGGTGTGGTGGTGAACGCGTTACTCCCCGGAAAGGACAATAGCGCGTTCGTTCCCCACCGCAGACACCTGCGGTCCGCAGTTTTGCATGTCTTCGTAAAATTCTTCGATGTTTCACGTTTTAATGGACGATACGTGCGCCGAAGTGTTGGTGCAATTAAACTATGTAACAGATGTTAACTTCTTTATTTAGTACCTGTTATTATTTTTTACGACAGGGTATGATGTGAAATACAATTATTATGATGCTGACGTATTTGCAAAACCAGGACCGCCGTGCAAATTCGAACCCGCGATGACCCTCTTCAGAGGTTCACGTGCTATCCGCTGCACCGCTGAGGCTCACGCTTTCTCTTCCTGTCAGCCAGTTCTTCCACCGTAGACACCTGCGGTCCAGAGTTTTGCCATATCTCAGCACCATTATGGTTGTGCCTCAGTATCATTATGTAACAAATCTTTGTTGACAAATTCGAAGAGCAAGAACGAGAAGAATGCAGAAATGTAGGTGAAGTTCATGCGAAAAGATGACTGATTTGCTTCTGACCACTATGTGTCATTTGCTTCCCGTTCTTGAACTTGTAGTTGTAATTGAGAAAAAAGTGAAGATCAACTCTTCTCTAGGAATCTCCGGGAAGATGTTTGTAGACTAAACTAGAGAATTCTCATAGATTAATTTTCTTTGTCTTAGTTCATTGAAATCAAATGGTTACAAGTAAATGAATATGATAATGTATAGAATATAGGATATATGAGCGCGTGTGGTGCAATGGTTGGAGGCGCATCTGCGACACACACGTGGAATCGACTTCCGCGCTCATGGCTTGCCAAGTCTTCGATCCTTCCGGAGTCGGCAAATAGGTCGCAGACTTGTCTGGGAGTATAGCAGCAGTGGACCGACACATCGGTAGGCCACCGCGAGTTATTGTAAAAGCCAGATATGCATTCAATCACCTCCTACGATACTTGATGAAGTCGAATGAATGGCGCATCCCTCAGGAATTGATCAACGCCGAGAGCTTTCTAGCTTTTATAGGATATATTCCTCAGGTGTTTTCTTAAATTATTCATATAACCTTTACAAAAAATCTGGTGCTCACCATTGAAGAATTTGATCATGTCCGTAAAGTCCATTTTATTGGCGACTATCACTTCGCGATAGTTCGTCACCATCGCTAAACCGAAAAATAGCGGAAAATGTGGAGTGAATGTTCTCGCCGCCGCCCAGATCGTTTCCCATACTCGGAAGATGCTATCGTACGACAGTTCTGGAATTGTCTCTCACCATCACAAATAAAACATCAAACATTCCATGAAAGAAATCCTTTTAAATTATGAAGTCTGTAAGGAATTTAAGAAAACTCCGTGTTGACTATAACCTACTTTTATAGTCCACCTCCTTGCCACTGTATTAGGCACATCCTGTGCTTATAAGCATAAAAAGGTTTCAGAGATTTTTGATTCCACTTTAGACTCAAGCGTTTGAAATTGGAAGGAAAGATTCATCGAAAATCAAAAAGAAATCGACGAAACCACGACATATTTTCGGTTATGAGAAGCGTAGGTAGTCTAGTAAGATGGAAAAACGATATTTATGCTGGCGATGCTGTTCATTCGCGTGGGATATCAACTTCAACAAGCAGTTCCAGCCTTCATTTGGGAAGTTTAGCCACTCAATGAGGAATACCATCCGTTTGTTTCACGGCCCGCCCCATAAGTCACTTCATAGACCAAATCTACACAATACGCGTAAGATTCATTGGATGAAAAGTTCCGAGACCTCCATGCCACGGCCTTACACTGAGAACTACATCCTTTATCGGTTTACTAAGTCAATTGCTTTTTTTCTAGAATCTAGGCATTCATAGTTGAAGTTAGAATTATGGTTTTCAGAGCTTCATTTCATTGTAAAGACTACATCGATCGTTTACCTCGCTTGAAATCAAGCAGGAACCACCGATAACTGAAATAAAGATGAGTGGCGTCAGAAGTAGAGGTAAGAAGGGCGAAAATTTGAGGATCAACAACCTGTAAAGCTGATTCGATTAGAAATATCGAAATATCAATTCCGAATCAATATTCCAAACTGTTTCCTAGAAAGCTACTGTCAACTTCTTAATATATAATAATTATGAGCTATAACGTACCTGGATTAAGGAGCGGAAGTTCATCAAACAGATATCCATGCCAGTTCTGTGTGGAAAGTTATCTCGTAGCCGAGCCATTAGCATGGTAAAGCACTCCACTGTAAGCGCCTCTGAAAGCAATGGATCGTTATCCTCCATTAGACTATGATCTACTTTTCTCTATTAGATTCAAGGTAGTTTGAAATTTCTTTGCGGCAACAGACATGAAGATAGCGTATCATACGGTGGTGATACTATGCTGATTGACCAAACAATAGACAAACGGCTGCCCAACGCACTGAAGTGGTAATCAACGTTAGCAGAACAAGAACGGATTGTAACGAATGTCGTGGTTCTGAGCAACATAGAAGAATACATATTGTTCACTGCTAATGTGCTTGTGAGAAGTCGTTTTGCTATACCTTCCACGAGTGGTGAAATCGTAGGATTATCAGCCAATCGTAGGGTTCGGTGTCGTAACAAGAGCCGCCGTCGACACGGAAAAATTCGAATCGCAAAGCAGCAAACTCCCACCGATTAACAAACGTGGTCAACTACCTACGCTGCGACAGATCGACAAGCATTCATCATTCTAATATGGACAAAAAGCCACACATAGCCGGATTCAGATCCAAACAGGAAGAACTCAATGGAAGATGATTTCTGGACAGCGGAGCAAGTGGATGAAATGCTAGGATCCGCATACGTGAAGATAGGTTATCTTAGCGTTTATGCAATTGACAGAACTGAAAGGTTTCCGTCACTACTACAAGATTTATACGTATAAGTGAATGGAAAGACGTTCCTTAGACGAGAATAATTGGAGAGGACTGATAGATATTGAATTCTGCACTGTTGCACACTCTTAACGATGAGGAAGAAAAAGAAGAATATGATTAGTACTAGCAGGTTTTAATGGAAAAACTAATGACCAATACCGAGAACATGCAAAGTAGTATACTTATTGAGGCAGAAATAGCGAAGAGTCAGATGAGTTTGAGAGTCGACATGGACAGAAAAGGTGAAGAATGTGGTTGACGCAGCTTGTTAGCGACGGCAAGTGAACAACCGTGATTCGGAAGAAGATCTTAAGCTGTTTGGCTACGCCCTCCAGATGCGATATGAAAGAACTACGTAAAACTGTTCGTGGTCACAGAAGATATGAAAGAAATTTAGGTCACTGAGAGCAACGTTCACGAATATTCATTATTATTAATATACTATTATTATTATTATTATTTATTATTAAATTATTATATTTGTCATTATTTTATTATTATCACTGTTCTTTCACGACTATTCATTCTCTGTTTGGTTATGGAGATGTTTGGCCGTGTAGATTGCAGTCAACGTGACCTTTCCAGGTTTCGAGGAAGCCGAAATCCGCCGAAACGTCAGCTTGGTTCGTGAATAAAGAAATGAAATAACATCTCGTGTTTGCTGAACAAGAATATGAAAAACTGTTCAATCAATGGTGAGGTTAACAGAGAGTCAGTCATGGGAGTTCATGGTTATAATCTAGCGACACAAAACTTGTACACCGGTGGAGTTTTCAACGATACTGTGAAATGTGAGGAAAATATTGCTGAAAGTAATAATACTAAACAGTAAGAAGAGGACGAAGAAAAAGTGAGAACGGAAATGAATTTTTAGAAAATCCCTTTATTTGAGAGAACTTGGGCAATATAGATCGCCTCCATGCGAAAAAGGGAAGTCGGGCACGAATTCAAAGCTTATGGTTGCCTTGCTAAACCTGTTAGGCAGGTATGTGTGGATGAAGATGTAGGTAATCTACAATTTATCCACAAGGTTGCAATCAATTCGAAAATATCTGATATCTAAACTGGAAAGAACTGGACAATGGATAGAAAAAAACATGGCCAGCGCCAAAAACCAGCATCTTAGAAACCGCATTTTTCCATAAGAGCAATGTAAGGCGATTGTTTTTCTTAGATCTTAATTTTCTTAAATCAGTAGTGGACAGATACTGGGGTGGTCGTTGAACAACCACCTTTCTCTTCTTAAGAATTCACAATTAATCCCTTAGCAGTAAACTCTAAGCCTATTTACACTTGCAAGAAAAGCTATGATAGTAAGCTTAAATAAACTTTTCCAACCATCTTCGAAGACGACTAGAAGCGGTGCCATGATGTCGCACATTCCTTGGATGTAACCGTCTTCAAGATTCCGCCACACATACGTCACCATCGCTCTCCTAAACGATAGCGTTGTGCCTATTACATAAAAAATCTTTGAAAAACACTGAATGAGCATGTGACTTGCTTTTTGGATCAATGCCAAAAACCCTACAATGAATAGCAGAGAAGAATGCCCAGAGGTCACACGCGACCTGATCTCGTATGTTCGCATCAATTTCTGATGTGGGATGGTGCAGTTACCAACCACATGCGACTATAATCAGCTGTTCCAAACTTCCTCATTGGAAGTCATGTAAAAAGCGGTGAGTTGTTCGAGAAGTTGTTGATCATGTAATTACCAAAGAGTCTTTCGTCTTTGTGTAAGTGTTAATGAAGCGTTTGGCCTAGTAGGTTGTATATAAGCATACCCTTCCAGGCTCTGAAGAAGGCGATACTGCCGAAACGTCAGCTAGTGTTGTATCGTATTGTTTTTATGGAAGTAAATGTATGCTGTTTAAAAACCTCGCGATTGCTGAACAAGAAAACGACGCATTTGTATTCCAAGTATTTCATATCTCACTGTAAAAGAAGCTCTCGGCGTTGACAAATCCTCGAGCGATGCGTCATGCATTCGACTTCATTGAGCATCGTTAAAGGACATTGAATGCATATCTGGGCTACACAATGATTCGCGGTGGCCTACTGAGGTGTCGACCCAGTGCAGGTATCTCCCAGACAGGTCGTGTTCCAATGTGCCGACCCCGAAGGGACAAAAGGATTAGTGAACTAGGGACGCGAGAAAAATCTGTGTTAATCACTCAAAAGACCGACTTTCTATAAATTTCGGTAGTCGATATATTTATTTATATGTTCTTATGAACCGATCCTGCTGAGCTGATGCGAATCCTATGTGTATTGCAGGGTGACTATAACCGCTGCGCAAACGCGCTGCTATTTCACTATATTTCATTTTAATTATATTTCATCATGCAGTCAAGTTGACATAGTTTTTGACAAATCACATCGAACATCATTTATCGATACCTTTACAACTTGTAAAGGAAAAATAGTGATTCCCATAATATCCCGCAACCCATAATGGTTAAGTACCCCGCTGCGGCGAGGAGCCTAGTACCAGAAATGTGACGCTTATCGAGTCATCTGCAAAAGGAGAATTCGTTGAGTAACTCTTGGACGAACCAGCGCTAGTGATCCGTTTGAGTAACTCAGTGTCTCACGGTACGAGGGACGATAGAGATAGAGGTAATATTGAAAACTGAAATTCTTCCCCATAAAGTTGTTACTATGGCAGTTATACTCACTTGGATACTTGGATAGCTCGTGTTCATTGGCTGTGTGGGCCCCAGCATAACTTCCATTTTTTTCGGAGTTATGCTGGCTTAACCATTGTCGTTCCCTAGACTCCCGAGGTCAGCCCAATCAAGGTTTTCTCCAGTTCGTCACTACCACTTGCAGTGGCCGTCCTTGTGGATCAGAGGGAGATTTGCCACCATGCGACCAGTTTGGTACCAGGACGGTTATGGATCCTAGTAATGGTTTACTCTTAGCTGGGCTTCTTGATGGAAACATCGGACTCCTTCTCAGCTTGGGAGGCTTTGCTGAGGGGATGAATCCCCACGCTGTATCTCGCAGCTCGACACCCAGGAACAACTCCGAGCCTCGACGGGGCGGTAAACCGCTAGGAGAAATTACAGTTATAACTGCAATAAAGCTAGAACATCGGACATACTTCAGCATAGTTATGTAGGATTTTCTGCACATCTCCAATAACTGGTTACCATTTTGTCACCCTACGAAGAAATTGGTCAATGCCTTACTTACCGTAGGGTTTCGAGGTTTTCTTTATTCGAAAAGAAAATGAGGTTACGATCACATCGTTCGACATCCTTCTCGATTCGATGTAAATTGGCGGAAAACTGTCGCAATAGAGCATCTCCATCTTTGGCAGGTTGTTGTTGCTGAAATATCACCTTCTTTCTATAATTTTCATGGCAGGTTACTAAGCGAAATACAACCACAACGTTTCTGAGATATTTGCAAAACTCTGGACCGCAGGTGTCTATGGTGGGGAACGAACGCGCTATTATCCTTTCCGGGGAGTAACGCGTTCACCACCACACCATGCGGGTCCTTTGTTTCGCACGTCTCTCAGCTATTTCTATCGATCTTTTTGCCACAGCAATCACCCGTCAGCGGGGTTGATCTGGGGAGCGCAAATCGGCATAGAACCCAGTTAAGCTATGGCTGTAGTTGAAATCACAATGTTTAACGTTTTGTTTTCTGCCTTCTATAATTTTCATGGCAGGNTATCTCAGAAACGTTGTGGTTGTATTTCGCTTAGTAACCTGCCATGAAAATTATAGAAGGCAGAAAACAAAACGTTAAACATTGTGATTTCAACTACAGCCATAGCTTAACTGGGTTCTATGCCGATTTGCGCTCCCCAGATCAACCCCGCTGACGGGTGATTGCTGTGGCAAAAAGATCGATAGAAATAGCTGAGAGACGTGCGAAACAAAGGACCCGCATGGTGTGGTGGTGAACGCGTTACTCCCCGGAAAGGATAATAGCGCGTTCGTTCCCCACCATAGACACCTGCGGTCCAGAGTTTTGCAAATATCTCAGAAACGTTGTGGTTGTATTTCGCTTAGTAACCTGCCATGAAAATTATAGAAGGCAGAAAACAAAACGTTAAACATTGTGATTTCAACTACAGCCATAGCTTAACTGGGTTCTATGCCGATTTGCGCTCCCCAGATCAACCCCGCTGACGGGTGATTGCTGTGGCAAAAAGATCGATAGAAATAGCTGAGAGACGTGCGAAACAAAGGACCCGCATGGTGTGGTGGTGAACGCGTTACTCCCCGTAAAGGATAATAGCGCGTTCGTTCCCCACCATAGACACCTGCGGTCCAGAGTTTTGCAAATATCTCAGAAACGTTGTGGTTGTATCACCTTCTCTTTATTATCATTCTGACCTGGGTTATGTGCTCGACAGCCAATTTGACTTAAGTGATGCGTACAAGGAAAGAACACTGAGTATAAAAAACATGTACAAGTAACAAAAATGTGTCATATTGCGTTTCGAAGGCATTACTTTGCAATGGAAAGTATGGTGCAGATCTTAAGCAAGCCCTGAATAAGCTCTTCCAAAGTGAGCGCTATAAAATCATGGCTATCGGACTGATTAGCTAGTAGGAAATCGATCATGTCATCAAATACTTGCGTAATCGCAATGAGCCGTTTTCTGTACTTTCTCTTTCGGATATCAGCAATATTGTCTTGAAAGCACTATCGCAGCAGTTGGAGAGTAAGTTCAAATTCTACGAGATTCATTTTTATAGGAAACCTTCTACATTAATTCATTCAAAGAATCTTCACTACTAGAACGTTTTTAGATGTTTACAGGTAATCACCAATTCGCTCTCTATCCATTCTTCCTCAAAAACATCGCTCATCATCGAAGATTCGCGTCCTGGTGTTGAGGGCTTCCGCTGTTTTGCTAAAGCAGAAAGCACTATGATAATAAAAAAAAAAGTAAAAAAAAAAGCTGTATGGAGTCATATCATAACCACACACATTCTTTAGAATGAAACTCTAAAAGTTTGAGCTTAAAAAAGGACATTGAAATGCTTGAGGGAAAGCGTTAAGGACGATACCGGCATTGAACTCCTCTTCATCCAGGCGTCGTACTTCCGACTCCAGTACCCGCCAGTTCTCACCATCCTCACTGAAATGAGAATCGAAACAGGTAAAGCATTGGAATACCGTAGACTGGAACGAACATCATCCGGAATGTGAAAGTGTTTAGTTTTAGTGACAAACGAGCAAAACAGTTTTCTGAGTGGGCGAGTTTTCAGCCATTGACGAAAAATATCTGAGAAAAGTAATTCCCATAATGAGCTCTTATTTTAAATAGGACTTCCGCTGTGGTAGCCAATAATTGCTAACGATCATTCACGCACCTGTACTTCTTCGTAAACTCCGCCAACTTCGGCTCAGATTCTTCATCCCATCGACAAACTTTCAGCAAGTATGGCCAAATCTAAGAAACGAAGATGTTAACGCCTTATAACTGGAATTCATGGAAATAAAACATCCATTTCAACTTTTCCAACATGTCCGATTTCATGAAATACAAGTTTCAAATGAGTTAACCATGTACAATTTCGTAACATGACATTATTGGAGATTTCGGACTTCACGCATCGCATATGAAACATACGGCGCTGGTAGATAAGTTAGCAGGTGTTATGTAGAGGTTTCAATAGACAGCTTAGAGTAGCTAAATTTAGAACCTGTCGTCGAAGTTGTCTTGTGTTTGTGCCTTCGATACCTTTCCAATAGACTCTCAGCAGGAATTCCTCTTCAAGTTCAGCCTGAAACATAGCAGACTTAAAAGTGAAATGTTATTACAACATCATAGTCTGATTGACATTCTTAGGTATAACATCAGTGATGCTGAGATATTTGCAAAACTCCAAGCCGCAGGTGTCTGCGGTGGGGAACGAACGCGCTATTGTCCTTTCCGGGGAGTAACGCGTTCACCACCACACCATGCGGG